GTCCTCTCAAAGCGGTTTGGGGGTGCAGAGCCCATGGGGTTGATCGGGATGGGGGGTGTTGCAGTGATGGAGCCCCTCATGCTCACTGCAGTAACTGAACTGTAGTTCCAAGTGTGCTGTTGGAACACAAGGAACTCCAAACCAAACCCGTTTGATCTCAGAGTCTCTCCTGGTACCAGAGGATGTTCCAGTTCCTCCTCTCGCTGCTGCTCCTGACACTTGGGTGTTTGGTGCTGTTCCTGCACTCAGCCTCTTGCAAAGGTTCCGATTCAATGACTCGGCTCTACCTGTGCAGTCCTTATGAAGATGAACTTGGATGGATGGGAACCAGATGTATGGAACTGTTGGGACCCGGCTGCAATGCAGCCTCTTGGTCGGGGGATTCATCCCATCCCTTAACTCTCGGTTCAGTTTGAATTCCTCATTGTACAGTTAATGACACAAATAGTACTTTTTTTCCCCTTGTTTCAGACTTCCCTGATGCCCTCTCATAGCTCTTTGCTCCTTCAGGTGATAAGGAGGTGATCCTGCCCCTTTATTTGGCTCTCGTGAGACCTCACTTGGAGCATTGTGTGCAGTTCTGGTGTCCTCAACATAAAAAGGACATGGATCTGTTGGAACAAGTCCAGAGGAGGCCATGAGGGTGATCAGGGGCTGGAGCACCTCCAGTATGGAGCCAGGCTGAGAAAGTTGGGGCTGTTCAGCCTGGAGAAGAGAAGGCTGCGTGGAGACCTCAGAGCAGCTTCCAGTGTCTGAAGGGGGCCTATAGGGATGCTGGGGAGGGACTCTTCATTAGGGACTGTAGTGATAGGACAAGGGGTGATAGGTTAAAACTTAGGGGAAGTTTAGATAGGATATAAGGAGGAAATTCTTCCCTGTTAGGGTGGTGAGGCACTGGAATGGGTTGCCCAGGGAGGTTGTGAATGTTCCATCCCTGGCAGTGTTCAAGGCCAGGATGGACAGAGCCTCAGGTGATATGGTTTAGTGTGAGGTGTCCCTGCCAATGGCAGGGGGATTGGAACAGGATGATCTTAAGGTCCTTTCCAACCCAAACCCTATGATTCTATAACGTCATATATTAGGGCTTCTGGATAAGGGACTGCAGCTCCCAAATGCACCATGAAAGGAAGCTGCTCTACCCAGAGGGTTGCTCTAAGGTTTTGTCTGGAAGCGCCACCTTTAGGAGCTCGCGTTCTGACGTTGTTCCTACACTGATGAAACTCGAGTGTTCCGAGCTGTTCCCTGTGGGCTTGTTGAGGAATAATTGTGTTTGTGAGAGCTCTGCTGGGGAGGCTGCCCCCCTCTACCCCATCTGAAGGCATAAACTGTGTTATGGGCTTGTGTCTGGTGTAGTCCGGGGCACTCATGGGTGTTTCTGTGCAGGAGCAGCCAGCCACAGCGTGATGTGGGTGCTTGGAGCCTGCCTGATGCAGAGAGGGATGCTCCCTTTGTGCTGACCTGGGCTCCGCGTTGCCTTCTCCACGCAGCATCTCTCAACCCTGTTGTGTTTGCTGGGGGTGCTGTGAAGCACTGCCCGGGCCAGCCCTGCTCCAGGCCCTGCTTACAGGGAGCCAGGTTTGCAAGGGCTTGGATAGCAGAATTCCCTGGAAGAGAGAAAAGTGCAGCTGGGGTTGGGGTTTCTGAGCTGCGCTATTGGAACCTCTCGGTCTTTGTGTCCTGCAGGTTTCCATCCACACTCGGCTGGATTCTGGGTAACGTCAGGAAAAGCACAGGTAGATCAAGGGGGTTGTCTGGGGAGCGAGGAAAGAGCTTGGTGATGTGATAACTGAGATACTCCAGGCTAAGGAGGGAGAGAAGTCAAAATACACTCGCACTTTGGTCTGAAAACAGTCGGTTTTGACTGCAGGAGATTAGATTAGAGCCGTGTGTTCCCAAAGCTTCAGCCTGGGTTTTGTGGGGTGTGTTTAGCCCAGGATTCCCTGTTTCCCTGCACACTGGTGTGTGTGTGTGAGGGGTGGGATTGGAGAGGGCAGAGGAACGCAGAACTTGAGATCTGCTGAAGTGGTGTCAGGATCCGTATGGAGCGCTTTGCAGCTGGCATCCTGAGTGCATCAGTCTCTCCCAGATCCAGAAGTAACTCCCCTTGAAGGCACTTCTGTAGGGTTTGGTAGCCCCTGACATCCAGTAGAGAACAAATGCAGGCAAAGAAGCCTTCTCCAACAGGAGCATGTGCTGGAAAAGCAGCTACTACAGGGAAGTTCTTTTCCTGTATCGGACTTCCCGCTGTTCCCTCAAGTGATGCTCTCCCCATCTATGGACCAGCTTAACCAAAGGGTTGCTGCAGCCCCTGGCTCCCCTGCCCAGTGAACACCAGCACTGGTTGAAGGGTATAATGTAAGTGCTGTTGATGGCCCAGGAGGGGAGTCCTGTGCTTTACCTCTGGCCCCTTGTCTGCTGAGCACTTCATTCACCTTCCAGATAGTCCAGGTGTTTCCTTATCTCGGTTGGCTGAGGAGGGAATTGCATAAAACTGCCAAGCTCTGGTACCTGGGACATAGTTTTTAAGCCATCATCTTCTTAGAGAATCCACAGCCTGTCTTATTCTGCAAATGTAATGGTTTGAAACCCTCATTTGGGGCTAAATCTGTCTCTGGAATTCTCTGGGATCGTGATTTCTCTGGGTGCTGTTGATGGGGTTCAGTAACGTTGCTAAAAAATGTGATCCCAGTGTCACAACCTGCGCCTTTCACCATCGTTTCATTGAAAGGCAGAACCCCAGGAGTGACAAAGTGGGCTCTGAGCAGCTGCAGCTGGGCTCTTGTGGGGTAGCGAGAGATGCTCTTCAGTGTCTGTCATTTCTTGAATGTTTCCCTTCTGATGGCTTAAAAAGTTGCAGTATCGGGATAAGAGCCATGATTCTGGAACGTAGAACCCCAGCCTGGTTTGTGTTGGAAGGGACCTTAAATCTCCTCCAGCTCCAACCCCTGCCACAGGGACCCCTTCCACTGGAGCAGCTTGCTCCAAGCCCCTGTGTCCAACCTGGCCTTGAGCACTGCCAGGGATGGGGCAGCCACAGCTTCTCTGGGCACCCTGTGCCAGCGCCTCAGCACCCTCACAGGGAAGAGCTTCTGCCTCAGAGCTCAGCTCAGTCTCCCCTCGGGCAGGTTAAATCACTGCCAGTGCACTCCCTTCTGCTGGTTCAAGTGCACTCAACAGAGCAGCTCCTTGGGCAGGGTTTCTCTCTCCAGGATTCCCCAGGCATCCCAGTGCCGTCGCTCCGCTGTGTTCCAATGGGACCCTCCATGTGCTGGCTGCGGGTGGCTGTGGTGCTGGCGCGCGGTGCTGAAGGGGTTAACCAGCTCTTGTGGTGTCCTCACAAGAGGAAAACTATTTTTGTCCCGTGCCAGGAGCACTCTGGGAGCTCGGAGCTGCAGCTCCTTGGGAATGGAGCCTGGCCAGAGCTGGAAACGCGTCTCGGTGCCTTCGGCTTCCTGTGCTCAGAGCGCGTCGGATGGGGTGATCCTGCTGACCCCCCAGAGCACGGGAGCACTGGGATGGGAGCACTGAGCTGCTGGGCTCAGTCCATGACCGCGTTCCATCAGGGAGAGGCTCCCTCTGTCCCCTTCCATCTCCCTGGCAGAGCAGGGGACCCTCCTCTCCCTCTGTGACCTTCACCAGGCCCATCAGCAAGGATCCCCCAGGCAGAATGATTCCCTTTATTGCTTCCTCTCCCCGGCCCCGTGCCTGTGCTCTCGGGGTTGTCACGACCCGGTACCCGGCCTGGCCTCTCTCTCTTGCTTTTCCTCATCTTTAGCCATGAAGAAGTGTTTGTTCGTGTCCAGGCCAGATGCTCGAGGAGGAGCATGGAAATACTGCCCTATCTGTCAGGTTTCATAGCGCTGCTGAAGGCCCTGGTGTAGCTCTTGCAATGGTTTTCAATGGGCTTCTAATTAGAAAAGCATTGGACTAATAGGATGAGCTATAATTAGCAAGACCTACCCTCTAGATAGCTAAGCAGGGACTAGAATACAGTTGTAGATCCATTAAGTTTGGTAGTATTTAACCTGTTGGAACCTTTTGGGGTGCTTAAAATCAAACAGGGAAAACCTGGCCCAATCCTTTGGGATGAGCTGGACGCTGGAGTTTGGTCCTAGGGTGGGTGTCAGGGGAGGGGGGACCCTTCACAGCCCTTCTCCCCCATGCAGAGAGGAGGCCGAGAGCCTGCGGAGCTCCCGTCCTGGTCCTGCCCTGTGGGCAGGAGCAAACAGTTCGGAGGAGGGAAATGACTCAGTTGGTGGTGGCTCAGCAGAAACAAGAGCCTGGGTTCCAGGGAGGCCTCTTGGCAGCAGCGAGCATCAACCCCTGCGCTCCACCTCCAGCCCTCGCTGCCCCTGCGCCGCAGCACCCATGGGTGCGCACCGTGTCCCAGCTGCAGCCAGGCTGCTGGTGCGGCAAAGGGCATCCTCCCTCAGTGCTTCATAGGGAGAAGGAAGGTTGGGATGGCCCCTGCTGCTCATAAAGGGAGTTGTGTAAAGCATAAGCGAGTATTGACCAGCAGAACCTTCTGTGACGCAAGAAGCAGGTGACGCCTGAGCACGTCCCTGTAGTTTTCTGTGTTGTCCTGCAAGAGTAAAACTTCCCCCTTTCTCTGCCCGTGGAAGCCTGTGCAGGGAATAGGGATATGGGATAAGGAAAGGGTCTTGTAGGTCTCTTCTTTCTCGAGGGGAAACTGCTGGTGGGAAATGGGAATGCTGGTTCCAGCAGATGTTTGGGACAACCATGAGATAGCGAGAAGTAGTTGGTTTCCTCTTGGGGTGTTAACACAAGAAGCAAGCACTAAAGCGAGTAAGAGAAGCAATAACTTTACTCTTGGGTGTGCTTTTTGGTTTTAACCCAAAAGTACCCGCACACAATGCAGTTCCTTTCCTTCAAACCCTAGGATGCGATATTCCACACAGGTCCCAGTGCTGAAGGGTGACCCTGTTCTGGGTGATGGTGGTGCTTGTCCTGCCTGCACTGACCCCTCTTCTCTCCCGCAGGATCCTCGCTCCAGACACTTCCCAAGCGGCGCGGTCAGGATCCCACCTGGAACCCATGAACTTCATTGACAGGTAGGAGCTGGGGATACAGTGGGGCCAAGTGTTTGGTATTGCACACACAGGGAGGTGGGCTGGGAGGGTGGAACCACCTCCTGCTCTTTTGCACCCTCAGCTCCTGCTTTGTCCAGGTTCGGCTGGGGTCAGGATTTGGCTCCTGTGCCTGCACCAAAAGGCCTTTCCCTAGTGCTTAATGCACGCTCCAGAGTAGGTTTGGGCTCTTTGGGCAGTCAGAGCAGCTGCAGCCTTGGCCTTGAACAGGAGAAGCAAAAGCAAGCGCACAGAAAGCCCTCCCTTGAGGCTCTCTCTGTGTTTTGTGCAACCCCCAGGGAAGAACCTGGCCATGGCAATGGCAGTTCTGCAGAGCCTGGAGCTCAAGGAGGGCTCTGCTCAGCCGCTGTCCTGTGTGTGCTGCTGCTCTGCTGTCACACGGGGCAGGTCCAGAGCACCACTGATGGGGTTTGGCTCCTTAGGGCAGATGTGCCCAACCCTTGTAAAGCAGGACCATGTTTGTGAGCCCAAAAAGCCACATGAAACCAGGAAAACACCTTTCCTACTGCCATTAGGAGTAACTGAGGGCAGCAGGGTGCATCACATGTACATGTCTTGACCATGGTGATGGCAGTTTCTCTTGTTCAGTGCGTTATCACCATAAACCACGTGACAGAGGATCCTGTTCTGCCAGTTCAACTTGGTATCCAAATACTGCGTTTTGTACCCAAATCACACCTGGTATTTACGGGCTCCGGCACTGAGGAATCTCCCTGCTTTGGGGTAATGCAGAGCCCAGACACAGTCATCACCAGACTTCCTGCCCAGGAGTTTCTGGACAAAAATAGATCCATAAGACTTGAGGGAGAACTCGGGTTGAACAGATCCCTCCTGCAGTGGCTGGAAGCAGTGGAGCTCGGAGTTCCCATCATCTCCGAGTTCTCTTTAGGAGACTTAGGATCTGGCTTTGGGAAGTGAGACAAGTCCTGAGTTGTTCAGAGCTTTCTTTTGGTGCCTTGTCCTTCGGATCCACTTACACCAGTTCCCTCTCTGTGGCTGTTACATGATTTATGTTGGCTCGAAGGTGGGAATCCATCGTGCAGCACTTGGTGCCCGGAGAAGCCTCCCTTAAGTGTCCCGAATGCAGAAACCCCAAGGAATTGCCTGGATCAGAGGATGCCCAGCATGTGGTGCTGGGAAAGCTGATTGTTGTTGTGACTGAGTAGTTAAAGATGCTAATTTTGCTGCTGTTGCATTAAAATCAATGAACCAACCTAGATCCCTCCTCTAATAAGAAGCATGCATTAAACAGGGAGGAGGTGGGAGAAGGGCTGAGGATCTGATTGCAGTTTACGTCCCTGAATATTGAAATCTCTTCCCATCCAATAGAAGCTGAAATCAAGTTGTAGGCCTTGAAGTGGGAGGTTTTGGAGTCAAACTGGACACTGGGTGAGTGGTTTGGGACTGGGAGGGTCAGTGTGCCTGGAGAATCCATACCTGCAAGGAAAGTGGGGTCTTTCTCAGCACGGTGAAGTTTCTGGTCATAGCAGGTGGCTTTTAACCAAAAGCCTTTGACTGCATCCTTTGGCTGCCTCACATGAGGGTGGTTGAACCCCCCCCAGGCACTGGTGACAGTGACCCAAGTGCATCCTGAAGCAGGCAGCTCACTCCTGAGAGCTACAGCGGTGAATCACGATCCCAGAGCATGCGGAAAGCTGGGAGCAGCATCAGGAATCGGTGTTCCTGTGGCAGGGCTGAGGAGCCAGGGCTTGGCTTCAGGCTGGATACCCCAGTAAAACACTGCTAACAGGTACGGAGGAGAGAAAAAGCCGTCTTTGGCTGCTGGTTTCTGGTTGCTTTGTGATGGTTTCTTCTTGTGTTGAACGCTTGTGGAGCTGTGATGAGAATGGAGCAAGTACTGGGCTGCTCTTCAGGGACAACGGCTCTTTTCCATGCACACAGCTCCGTGTTTAATCTCATCTGTGGGGCTCATTCAGCTTTTGGTCGCGGATTGTGAATGCTTCTGTCTTTGTTACACAGAGCCCTCAGATAGGGCTCGGCTCAGGCTCGGGCTCGTTCATGGAGCCAGGCTTGGCTCTAATAGCGATGGTGGTTTTAAGGTGAGTTGACACAAACAGCGCTCAGCAGGACCTCAGCTGCCGGGTCCTGGTTAAACACAGAGCTCCGGGGCTCCACGTCAGTGCCTTCCTGCCAGCATTGATCCCTGCGGGTCAGCCTCCCTCCAGGCTGGATCGGTTCCTCCTGGCTGGAAGGGCACAGTGTGAGCCTGGACACCCGCATGGAAACAGGAGCGGGTTCTGCCAGGCTGGGGGTGCGGAAGGAGCAGCCGTGGGGATGTCAGGGCTCAGATCCAGGTACCCCACGTGTGCCCTGCACCCTGTTTCCTGGGCTGGCATCCCTGGACCGATGCTCTGCTCTGCTGGGCCGCTTCCCCCAGGAAGCTTCTGTGGGCTCCTTCTGCACAGAGCAGTGGGTGCTGGGCAGTGCAGGGCCCCCCAGCACCCTTGGGACAGGGACAGAGCAGCGGGAGCCCGGGGAGGGAAGGGTTAAAGCTGCCATTTTGTTATGTAACACCCTTAATGGACATGTCGTGAATGGCACCAAAATGGCAGGAGTTAACCCTTGATGAGCCACAGTGCAGCAGGTACCCCAATGACCACAGTGCAGCAGGTACCCCCCAATGGCCACAGTGCAGCAGGTACCCTCAATGACCACAGTGCAGCAGGTACCCTCAATGACCACAGTGCAGCAGGTACCCCAATGACCACAGTGCAGCAGGTACCCCGATGACCACAGTGCAGCAGGTACCCCGATGACCACAGTGCAGCAGGTACCCCCCAATGACCACAGTGCAGCAGGTACCCCCAATGGCCACAGTGCAGCAGGTACCCCCAATGGCCACAGTGCAGCAGGTACCCCCCAATGACCACAGTGCAGCAGGTACCCTCAATGACAACAGTGCAGCAGGTACCCCAATGGCCGCAGTGCAGCAGGTACCCCAATGGCCACAGTGCAGCAGGTACCCCCATGGCCACAGTGCAGCAGGTACCCCCATGGCCACAGTGCAGCAGGTACCCCAATGGCCTTGGTGCAGTAGGTACCCCCATGGCCACAGTGCAGCAGGTACCCCCATGGCCACAGTGCAGCAGGTACCCCCATGGCCCAGTGCAGCAGGTACCCCCATGGCCACAGTGCAGCAGGTACCCCCATGGCCACAGTGCAGCAGGTACCCCCAATGGCCGCAGTGCAGCAGGTACCCCCAGTGGCCGCAGTGCAGCAGGTACCCCAATGGCCGCAGTGCGGCAGGTGCCCCCATGGCCACAGTGCAGCAGGTACCCCCAGTGGCCGCAGTGCAGCAGGTACCCCCCAATGGCTGCAGTGCAGCAGGTACCCCCCAATGGCTGCAGTGCAGCAGGTACCCCCAATGGCCGCAGTGCAGCAGGTACCCCCAATGGCCGCAGTGCAGCAGGTACCCCGATGACCACAGTGCAGCAGGTACCCCCCAATGGCCGCAGTGCAGCAGGTACCTCCCAGTGACCACAGTGCAGCAGGTACCCCCAATGACCACAGTGCAGCAGGTACCCCCAATGACCACAGTGCAGCAGGTACCCCCAATGGCCGCAGTGCAGCAGGTACCCCCAATGGCCGCAGTGCAGCAGGTACCCCCAATGGCCACAGTGCAGCAGGTACCCCAATGATCACAGTGCAGCAGGTACCCCAGTGACCACAGTGCAGCAGGTACCCCCCAATGGCCGCAGTGCAGCAGGTACCCCCAATGGCCACAGTGCAGCAGGTACCCCCAGTGGTCACAGTGCAGCAGGTACCCCCAATGGCCATAGTGCTGCAGGTACCCCCAGTGGCCCCATGGCTGGTGCTGCTGCATCAAGCCTGGTGCCAGGGGGAGAGCAGCTCCATCACCTGCCTCCAGCTGCTCCCTGCCTTCCACAGGGGCAGGATGGAGTTCTGGTTGAATCCAGGTGTTGAGCAATGATTTTCCCCACCAACCCCCAGCCTGCAAAATAACCTCTGTTCTTATGGTGGTGTTTTAGTTTAGTCCTTAAAAACATGAAATGTGGTTCTTTGGCTTTCTACAGGTTTATTTTGTTAAACATCTGTGTGATGAGGTTGTGAAGTTCTCTGTGCGTGCACATTTATGCATGTGCCCATGTGAGTGAGTACACATGTGAGTACACATACCCACTGCAGTGCAGACACACACACATGGGTATGTAACAGGTTAGTGACTTTCCAGGGCTGGCTTGGTGACTAATGAGTATATGGGGCAGGAGCAGTTATGGCATGGATGATCTTCAGGTCCTTTCCACCCTAATGATTCTGTAGCAGGAAAAGAAGCTCAGGTGAAGCAGTGAGTTCTCATTGAAACTGCTTACATCCTGCTATGAGGGGGCATGGGTGTGATCTGAGGTGCCTGCCTGCCTGCACTCTGCTGTGCCCCTGGGGTCTGTCACCAAGCCTGTGATCAGCTCCCTTCAGGAAGCACTCACTGAGGGGCACTGGATGTGTCTGAACCTCCCTGTTTCTGCCTCTGGAACCTTGGCTTTTTCATTCCCCACTTTCCTTTCCCCACTCTTTTGCTGTAAGAGGTTCCAGATGATGCTGGGGACCAGGGCTGTTGAGCTCTGCTTTTGGCTACCAAAAGGAGTGAGGATCGTGTGGCTGCAGTGGGCTCTGAGCCCGCTGCAGATGGTCTGTGCTGGACTCGTATCTGCTGCCCAGCACTGCTGATGGCTCCAGCACAGCATCAGGATGTAATTTTGACTTCATCCCATTTAACTTCAAACTACCGAGTTGTGCAAACCAGTGGGAAAGGCAGAAACACTTCTGTGAAGGATTAGCTTGGAGCTTGTATGAGGAAGTGATCAGTGCTGAAGGGGAGAGGGGGCGATATGGGTAACTTGGTGTGAAGTAGGGAAGGGTGGAAGCAAACATCACAAACAGCAAGGAAAGGGTGTTGCTGCTGCTTTTACATATGGGTTTGTCTTCATGTTACTTCTGCAGTAAACAGGAGCACAAAGTAATTCACTTCCCAAGCCTTAAACTGGAACGTGAGGGTTTTCCTCCCAGTGGATGCTACAGCATCCCCTTTGTGAGGGTGTCCTGCACCTCCCTGCTGCCGCAGACACTGCCTGAGCCAAACCAGGTTTGTTCTCTTGGTCTGTGGAGGGCAGAAGGGCTTGGAGGATGCCAGGAGGGCTCTTCTGACCCTTTTCCCCATGGAAAGCACACAGGTGGCATCACAAGCACACACAGTGTTTACCAGGCGACCATGAATTGGTTGTGAGCTCAAGTTTGGGGTTTTTCCCATTGTCAGTGCTCAGAGGGCAGTGGGGCTGCATGGAGAGGAACTTTTGCCAGGGCTGCAGGGTGCCCAATGCCATGGCCTGAGTCTGAGGAGTTTGTATGGAATCCTAAACTGCCTCTTGAATGGATGGTGGTAGTTAATCTGTTAGAGCTCAGTGTCTGCTGCTTAGATCCCGGGTGCTCTGCCCTGAGCTGTGCCATTCCTTGGCATAAAAAGCTTCCATAAAACTTTATATTCCCTGTGTAATGCTTGCTTTCTCTTCCTGCTTTCAGACACGAGTGTAGTGGAGCTGAGCTGAAGCTACTGGTGGCGATGGGTTCCTGTTGCTCTGAACGGTGGAGAAGCAGAAGTGAGGGTTTGGGGGTGTTGTGTTATCCTGGGAACAGCCCGGATCTTCGGGCCCATGCAGCTCACTCTGTGCTTATCGAATGGACCCAGGGGGTGCAGATGTGATCTCCAGGAGTCCAGCAGGCTCGAGGGCTGCTCACAGTGTGTATGGGCAAGGAGCTGTTTCCTGGTGGTGGTGAGGTGTCTGGGGTGCCCTCCTTGGGTGATGGGGATTCAGCCATTTGCCAGTTTCCCATCCAGAGAGTGTTGTTCCGGGTGGGTTTGGGTTCCTCTGCCCTGCAGGGAGCTGCTCATGTCCCCTCCATAGGTGGACACTGTCCTTGCTGGTGCAAGGCTCTCTGGGGGTACTCCTCCTCCTCCTCCTCCAGGGCACCCAGGGTTTGCAGCCTGCTGTGGGACATAGATCCTGCTTCCAGTGCCCTCAGACTTGCAGGAGATGGGGCCCATCAACGCAGGCGGTTCCCATCAAAGTCTGACATGACCAGTTCTTTTCTCCTGAAAAGAGGCAGAACAGTGTCCTTGAAGAAATCCTTCTCATTATTTTATCCTTTTTCTTAGTCCTCCCGTTCCCTCAGCGCTACAGGGATTTTCCTTTAGGTCTCTCAGCATCTGTGTCCATGTTAGCAGATTGTTTCCTGGGCCCATTTCTTGAAAGGGTTAAACTAGGGGACCTTGGGTTTAGGGCTCATCCACACTAAACACAGTTTAATGGCTCCTGTGGTTGGGGAGCTGTGCAACCAGATCTCTCAGTGGCTTTATAAATAAACCTTGAGCCTGCACTTGCAGTCTTCAGACTGAGCTGCAGAGATCTCGGGGCAGTCTCCCCGGTAACGTGGATGTTCCCAACAGCTTCAGCTGGGTTACAGATAAAACCCCTCTCCTCTGCAGCACTCACAGGCCCCAGCTGCTGCATCCTCGGGACAAGATGCTGTGAATTCTGAACACAAAACTTGGGCTGGATTTGGGTTTGCAGCGAAGTTGTGGCAACGGGAGCCAAGGGGACCGGGGTTTGTTGTGGGTGGCTGATGCGGAGGCGCTGGTGGCGTTAGAAGTGGCTGTTCAGAAGGGAATCACAGGGTGCGTGGTGTGATGTCCTTGAGGGTTTGCCCTAGGAGAGGGCTTTGTGGGAAGGTTCATGCTGTGTTTTCATCGAGGTGGTTAATCCGTTCAGCCTGACCTTTGTAAGGAGTTTGTGTACGAAGGGTTTGCCCCTGGAAACGCTCCAAGTGGGGTGCTCTGTGCCTGCCTCTCTCCATCACTCCGATGTGAGCTGCTTGCTTAGCTCGAAAGCAGGTACCTCGTGAAGCACTTGCTGTGTATGACCGGATTTCACATTAGGGTTTGAACTGCATTGATTGTGTTTTAAACCTTAGTGCCAGTAGATTTAGCTCTTTTCCACTGCTTGGGATTGAGCTCAGGTAAGCGAGATTCAGCCCTGAGTGCGCAGAGTTCTGCCTGGCAGCTGTGTGCGATGTGTGAAGTACCCCGGTACACTTCCAGAGAGCGCCTTTCCCTGTCCTGCTCCAAAGCAGGAGAACCAGAGGGGCACAAATACAGCATCGTGTCCATGTTGGTGCAGTTTGGAGCCCGAGTGCCTCTGGGCTGCTCGCTGCAGCGCTCGGATCAGCCCCTGCTGCTGGAGTTGCTGCTTCGCATCCCTCCGAGGCTGGAGAAGAGGAAGCTCCCGCAGATAAACCCAGAGCAGGGTGGAAGGGGGTCTCCCCCTGCCTGTGATGGGGGTGTGGAAGGCAGCGAGGGCTGCGCCCTGCTTTGTGCCAGCCGTGCAGTCGGGTGCTGAGCAGCAGGAAGATCCTGGCCAGGCTCGGGGGGCCGTCAGCAGAGATGCTCAACCCGAGGTGCTGCTGTGGTTAAAAGCTGCTCCCCGAGGGCTGTTGCTGGGGTACCCTGAGCTGCGCCGTGCTGCTGCCTGCCTGGGCTGGGTGCTGTTTGCTCACCCCCGTGAATACCAACACGAATTTACCCTTGCTGTGAAACACTCTTTATGGCTGTTATTGTATCGACCCCCCCCTAAAAAAATACCCCTTATTTCATCCAAAACCATGCAGAGAAACTTGTGCTCAGTGGCATGGGGCTGCTGCTGTGGAATGACAATGTCACAGCGCTGATGTGACGCTGTTGAATTGCGGGGGGGGGGGGGTGAAGGGTGAGCAGAGGTTAATTATGTTGTGTAATTATGTTAATCTGTCACTGCTAAAACCCACTGCAAACACTTTGTTCCACTGGCGAGTGGCGGCCTCAGCCCTGGAGCCCTTTTTAAAGGAGGAGAAAGAAACCGGAGATGGGAGGAACAGTTTAATTAATTAATTAATTAATTAAAGGGGGGGGGTTCCTGTCCCTCTCCCCCCATCCCACCCCAGGTCACCCCTGGGGTGCCCCCCCCCGTGTCCCCAGGCAGCCAGCGGGGTGAGGAGGAGGAGGAGCAGGAGGAGGAGGAGGGATGCGGTGCCCGGCCGGGGTGATCCCGCTGCAGGTCGCCTGCCGCCGGCTCAGACTGGTTTCTGGAAAGTGCTTTGTCTCGCAGGCTGCATCCTGGGAAGGGTCATGTGGAGCCCAGTGATGTCATGGGATCAAAGCCTGACTCAGCTCTGCGCCCGCTGGGATGGATGGGTGCATTGGGGATGGATGGGTGGATGGATGGATGGATGGTGGCCGCAGGTACCGGAGCGCGGGCTGGCAGAGCTCACCAGGAGCAGAACTTCCCATCCCTCCGGCAGGCGAGGAGTTAATCCTGGTTCCCCTGAGCCCGGTGCTTCCGCCTGGAAAAGCCTGGCTCCTTCCCCAGGAGGGGAGAAAGTCTCAACTTGAGTCTCACAATGGCAGTGCCTTAGTGCTGGCAGCAGGCTCTCAAGCAGGATGGAAGCGTCTCCTCGCGCAGGGTGTGGTGGTCCTTCACCCCGTAGTGTGTGATTCCTGAAACTGGGAGCCAGGCTGAGGTCCTCAGAAAGGCATGGCAGCAGTCCCGGCTGATCCTAATCTGGCATTCTGTAATTGCCTTGATTTGCATGGGAGGCAAATACATACAGTCCTCCTGCCTTTGGTGAGGAGCCAGACTTCTCGTGTGGGGGTTTGTCTGTTCTCCTGTGCTCCGATGCAGGCTGTGGGTGATTGTGGTTGATGCTCAGTGAGGTTCTTGTGTGTGTTCTTGTTTGGCTTTTGTTTGTTTTTGCTTAACATGAGAAGTGTAAGTGCAGTGATGCTGAGTGCTTACTAGCTTCAGCCTGAGATGGATGCTGGAGATAGGCTACGTGACCGCACCAGCAACACCTTCATTGCTCTTTCTGAGCTTCTTTTGCAGTAACCACTGTCCTTTGCCCTGGTTTGAAATGGAGGTGTTTTGTCCAACTTCATTCTCTACCCCAGTGTGTTGAGCTGGTTTGTGTCTGCTCTCTCCCCAGAGCCTCACAATGACAGAGGAAGCATGCAGGACACGAAGCCAGAAACGAGCACTAGAACGTGAGGTACCGCACAACGATGTGGACAGCAAGAAACTGAAAATGGACAAAGGACTATTGGGGACAGAGATCAGTGCTGAAGGCGACATGAAAATCAAAGCAGATCCTGGAGCTGGCAAAGTGCAAGGGTTATTAAAAGGTGGGGAGGTGAAAGCAACCATTAAAGTGGAGGTGCAGACGGGAGATGAGCCTGTGGACATGAGTACCTCAAAAAGGTGAGTTCCAGCCTCCGTGCTGCAGTCACACTGTAACATGGGGGATACCAGCACAGTGAAACGTGCTCAGCTGGCACAGAGGGGAAGTTCTTTGCATCCTAAAGGTGGAAAGGATTCCAGTTCCATGCGTGTGTTGCAGCTCTGGCTCTTCACATGAGATCCAACAGCTACTGCTGGAGCTTCCTCAGTGGTTTCTCCTCCCCAGGCTTTGACAGCTGTGATGAGCAGCTGAGTAAAGAAACACAGTCTTGAATAGAAAACCATACACGTTACTGAGAGTGTGTGCTTTGAGCTACTGATTGAGATTTCTGTGAGCAAGGGTTGTTTGGATGTTTTGAACTGAGCTCTGATAAAGGGAAAGTAATAGATTGTAATTGTCTAAACAGAGGAGTTGTAATTGCAACTCGACTCTTCCTGACGGAGCAGGATGTTGGGATGCATCTGAGCATCTTTTTGAAGGAAGTTGTGGATTTTGACACTAGAAGTGTTCTGAAAAGCCTGCACCTGACTGCAGCAATCCTCTGTAGGACAAGTTCTCCTTTGAAAGGCCAGCCTCCTTAAGATGGCTGCATTTTTCCATCTGAAAGCACCAATTCAAAGTTCCTAATCCCTGTGTATGAGAGACACGTGTGAACTGGGTGGTTCTGACACAGATTTACGGCATCGCTTTAAAGCCTGATTCCCGATCTTCTCCCATATTTCTAACTCAGAACCTGGCTGTACCAGCATAAAAAAACTCCATGAGGAAGTCTGTGGCCCTGTTGTGAGCCCTTTGAGGGCTTGCTTTTGTCTTTCTGGTGCAGTAAGATCCAACACATGGAGCAGGAACTCTCAAAGCCTCGTTTATTCCTGGTTCTGCTGCTGGAGTGGGGATTCCTAAGAGCTGAGATCTGCCTCTGCTCTCAGAGACCCCTGTTGGCTGGGATATTGGGTGTTAGAGCAGGGCGGGTTGGAGAGGAGTTGCAAACACCAGATCCTTATCACAGGAATTACTGGGAGGAGGGTGCTTATGGGTGCTGTGAAGAAAATGGGCATCTTTGATGTTTAATGGCGTTTTGTCTGGGAACTTCCCAAACTTGTGATGCTTTTCTAAGAGATCCTTTGCAAGAGGCTGCTCGCTGCTTCAGGACCTGTAAGACAAGCCCTCTTCCATCAGTGCAATCGAGGGAAGGGGAGGGCTTGAGGGTTTAGGTCCCTCAACCTTCTGCCAAAGGTACAATCCCACGCGTTGCTCAATTTGCTGTTTAGGAGGAGCTTGTGTCTTGCACAGACACAGTTATTGGGGTAATGGGTGATTCCATGGCAAGCAGTTGTATTGTGCTGCCTGGGAGGGACTCTCTGAAGGTGTCTCTTGGCACATCACCACCTCTGAATGAACCCAGGTATGCAGGCTGGTTTGGTGAAGAATATCTAAAAAGATTGCTCATACCAAAAGCTGAATACATTAGAACGAGGTATTCTCCCCCTTTGGTTGCAGTACTTGCCCCCGCATGCCTGTGCTCTCTGTGAATTGAGCCTATCTTTGAAATGGGTGCCAGTGTTTCTCCTCTCTTGGTGTCTTGCAAGACGTGGAAGCAGGGTGATGATGAGCAAGGGGCTGCATCCTTCCAGCTTCCCAGAGAGTGGCTGGAACAGTAACTCCTGTTTCCATGAGATGGGAGAGCATCCTCTCCCCGTGCAGTGTTCCTGTTTCAGGTAACAGGATAGTGTTGTATTCAGTTTCAGCGAGGAGATGGAAAAGGCTTCCCCAGACAAAAACTCCACTTGCAGTCTGATCCAAAGCCCACTGATGTGAATGGTGATAAATACAATTAGGAATTTCACAAGGAGAAGCTTTGGGTGCTGTTTGTAAGCTGGAGCTCCTTTCGTAAGGCCTGTCTCTATAAAATCCTTAATAGAGAGGAATTAAACCCTGAGTCATCTCCAGTGACAGAAGTGAGCCCGAGTGATTCTGCAAGCTCCAGGCAGCAGCTTCCCAGGCTCTGGAGCTCTGCTCCTGCATCGTGGCAGGGCCCTTGGTCCATGTGTGGCTCTGAGCAGCTGACCAGCCTTGGGATGCAAATGCCTCCAAGCGAGTGTGATGTGAGCCTGGAGATGCTGTGATACAGAGGAAGCTTGTCTCCAGCCGAGGCTGTGCTCCTGCATATGTGCAGTTGGTGCTCGTAGGGAAGGGGGATCTTCATTTCATCAGGAATTTTTGGTTGTTTTGTGGGGCTTACCTTTCCAGACCTTTGATCTGCAGAGGAATGTGGCTCACAGCCTCACAAGCACTTGGCTCTTTAAAGCAGCCAAGCTGATTTTCTGAGCTGATGAGCAAAGAGCTGTTGCTTAAAAGGACCAAAGTGCTACTAAGGTCTTGGGTAGGACTCCTGCTTAGTGATGTGTTTGACTTTTAAACTTCCTAAATGCTTCTAGAACCGAAAACACAATATTTTCCTTGGAAAAGGGGGCCAGCAGCAATCGCAGTTGGCTGACGTAAAGCCAACTGAATGGATTTGCATCCTGAAATATTTTGATACTCTGGCAATATCTGCCTGAAACTTCAAAACACATTTCTTTTAATTTTATTTTCTTCTTTCTTTTTCTAAACCTTAAAAGTTAAATTTAAAACCAGGGTCTGGTTTGAGCACGTTCTCTGATGCCAGAAGAAACAGAAGGAAGTCTGTAGTGGTAGAAGGCTTTGATGAGAGGTCACACAAGGCCAAACCAAACCCTTGCTCCTCTGCCTGGCATTGTGCAGCACTGGGATGGGAGCTTGCTCCACTGGGGTGTAATTATCCTGGACCTACTGCAGAGATGGAATGGGGGGAAGGACATGTCTGGTTTGCAGTGGGGTGGGGAAGCAGTGCCATGGAAATGCCTTTGCTTGGGAATACTCTGATTTAAGGCAGCGTGGGTGCTGGAGGGAAAGAGCATTTGTCAGACCCGGTCCAATCCTGATGTCTTCTCGTGCTTTCGAGCTCTGCTTTCTCTGTCCTCTCTTCTTCATCTCTGTTCTTTCCTTCCCTTGTTACGTGAGTTTCCCACCACATTTGAGCATCCATTGCTTCCCACTGAGGGGCTTCCTCCTGCAGCCATTCCTGGATCGTGGTGCCTGCTGCACCTCACTGCATTCCTGTACCCCAGGCACAGCTCCCTTCACCTCTAGGATGGATCCTGACCCTTTTCTAAGGCTTTTTTCCTAGTACTATTTCCTAACCCAGCCAGTGTGAACACATTGCATACACTGTAGTAGTTCAGCTCAGGATTCCTGGTGTACTCAGTGAGGTTTGGCAGGGACCAGGAGCAATCCTTCCTGACACGGCTGTGTAACTGGCTCTGGATGGGAGTGCTGTGCTCAGACAGGTCTGTAAGGACAAATTATGCTCTCTTCTGGAGCACTGGGATCCCTCAGGAGCAGTGCACTGTTATCCCAACTGCAGGAAAACTTTGCTCATAGAGGTGTGGGGTGTTTCCAGGCAAGGCTACTGCTTGACCCTGTGAGCAGCTGTGTTGTGCTTGGTTGTTGTGCTGTGCTATCTTAACTCCTCGGAATTACAGTAACTCCCTGAATAGATAACCTCAACATGTGTTTCTCTTCAGGATCCTAAACAAGGAGGCTTCTCAGTGTGCAAGGAGGGAGTGAGGCCGTGGTGTTGCCACAGCACACAGGCAGGGTGGCAGCAGCGAGGGTGATGCTGTTCATAAAACACAGATACAAGAACTGGCTTCTATCTGTTATTCCCAGTTCTTGCTTTGCCTCGATAGCAATCCTGGAGTGAACGTGTCCTGTAGAGCCAACTGGGGTTTAAGCAGTTGAGCATCTTGCAGTTTTCCTTGTGTTTCTCTGTTTGCCAAGAGCAGGACATCAGCACGGGAACTATGGAACCTGCATTAACTGTGCCTTGATCAAAAGCAGTTCAGGGCTGGCTGATAACCAGAAATGAAGCCTGCGTGTGATATACTGGGTTTGTTTTCCACAAGAGTTGCTTGTGCCCATCTCTTGTCTCCTGATTCCTGGGATGCTCAACTATCAAATACATCCCCAGCTTGAAGATCTTGCTTCTTGAAGCTCCGTGTGAGCTGCTACTCCCATGAGAGCTGTCGGGAAGGAGGGTGAGGAGTTCTTAGGCATCGCTGTGTTAGTGCTGTCAGACAAATCATCTCTCTGAACTCCGTAGTTCCTTTAACTTCAGGTCTTGGTGGTTCTGATTTGTGCCTGTGACACATTGCACTGCTCTGGAAGCTCAGAACCATCACTTGTCATGGGATAATGAGGAATGACATTGATTAGAAGTTGTTGGATGGAAGTTGGCCCCATGGCTGCTCTCTGGGTTTTCAGGTTTGGCTGCTAAACATTGGAGCTCTGAAGGATTTCAGGATTTGGGGTGGTTTTTGTTCGGTTTCATCTGGCCAAGGCACATCGAACTGAAAGGGTTTGATTGAGAAGCTCTAACATGTTCTGAAGCACGGTGGGATGCAGCTTGTGCTGCTTTACTGGGATTTACTGGGAGCAATATTCATGGCAGAGCCAGTGAGGAGCAGTAAGCTTCTCTCTTCCCATTGGGAAGCCTGGAAATAAGGCTCAGCCCCATGCTTTAGGTCTCTTGAGCTTATCTAGGTTGTGTCTGCACCTCCTGGCACGCGTTGTGCTAAAGGATATTGTGACAAAATTGATGCCAGAGTTTCTGGGGCAGTTCTAGTGGTTTCTTTGAAATGCAGACAGAGAGAGAGTGGGATTCCAGTGTCCTCCCTTTGGTTCAGAGGAAGGGATGGAGTTTGTTTGCTTCAGTTTCACACCACAGTCACTAGATCCATTGCAGCTTCTTTGATTCATGGAGATAAAACATCTCCAGGGGGAAGAAGAGAAAAATCCCCACTGCTTTGCTCTTTCTTTCCTTGTTTGTCTTCCTTCCTTGCCAAGTATTTTTGGATGGGAGTTGTTGAATGGACTGAGGCAAAACTGTTGCATATTTGCTAATGCAGATGAAGCTGTAGCCTGAAGCACTTGCGGCGCTTCCCTGGGTTACCTGCGGATGGTGGGATGTGTCGGGATCAGCAGGATGAGGCCGGGGAGGGCTCCTGCTCTGCTCGGGGGCATGGCACGTTTCAGGTCAGTAGCTCTGTGACTCCAACCAAGTGAGCAGCGCATTGATTTTACCCTTGTCTCTCTTTTATTTGGAGGAGCGATCGAAAGGGCGTTTTGGAGCAGAGGCAGGGTCTGCTCTGTGAATGGAGCTCATTCTCTGTGTGATGCCTCTGGAGCAGTATGAGGAATGCAAAGGCTGTTTGTTGAGATACAGGAGCTCTTCTGTTAACATCCTGAAGCTGCAGCAGGAGCCCCCACAGCAGAGCCAGGAGTTCCTGGGTGTCTCCTTCTCTTGTTAGTGTTGAAAGCTTTGTCCTCCTCGGCTGTGCTCTTGTGCTTCCTGGGAGCTTCCATCTTGCACAGAGGGGAAATGTGTTTGAAAAGCTGCGCCCACCTGTGTGCCTGGTTCCTCACAGCAGCGTGGCTCGCTCCAGTGCTGTTAGTGCTGGGAATGCTGACATGGGTGCAGGGAGCTGGGCAGCAGCTCCGCTTTCATCTCCCAGCGTCAAGTCCAAGCCATTGGGACAGCTTTGGGAAGCTGAAGGCAGAATGATAGAGCAATGTCTTTATTTAGGTGAAGGATCTGCCCGATGGCTTCGGAGGAGAGGGGGCAGCGGAGCGGGACAGATCCCCACAGGAGGAGCAGTATTTTTCTTCAAGTGCTGATATTTCCATTGTCTTTCTTCTTTTGAAACATCTGCTTTGAATTGTTCTGCTTGACACAGGCTCACAAATGAGGAAAGCAGCCTCGGTTCTGAAGGCACAGCTCTGGTCTGGACACTTCTGGAGTTCCCTCTTGTGCCACCTCATTCTATGTGCAGTGCTGCTGAGGAGGGAGGATGCTGGAGCACGGAGTAGGCTTGGTTGCTGTGGTCAGTGTGTTGCATTAAGGACTATAGGCTGTCTCCCCACTTCAGGAAGGGCTTTTCTCTGTGAGGTCGCATGCCCGCAGACTCGGAGGCAGCGTGGAGATGGTCCTCAATGGACATGAGGAATGCTTTTGTGGAGATCCCCAGTTTCAGACTCTGAATGTAGTGGTTGCTCGGGCAGCTTTTCCTAGGTGAGCATCTTATAATGTAGCTGTCAGGAACAGCATCCATGTATGCTGGAGAGCAGGGCACTGTTGAGGGGTCCATCCCACCTCCTTGTCCCTTTAGAATCAACCAGGTTGGAAAAGCCCTTTAAACTCATCCAGTCCAACCCTTACCCCAGCACTGCCGAGGCCACCACTGCCCCATGGCGCTGAGGCCTTGTCTCCACGGGGTGTGAGCACTTGCAGGGCCGGTGCCTGCAGCCCTGCCCTGGGCAGCCTGTTCCAATGCCTGAGCACCCTCTGGGGCAGGAATTGTTCCTCAGCTCCATCTAAACCTGCCCTGGTGCAGCTGGAGGCCGGTTCCTCTTGTCCCATCCCTTGGTCCTTGGGAGCAGAGCCCAGCCCCTCCTGGCTCCATCCTCCTCTCAGGCACTTGTAGGGAGCCATCAGGTCCCCCTGAGCCTTCTCTTCTCCATCTGAACCCCCCAGGTCCCTCAGCCGTTCCCATCCCACTTGTGCTCCAGCTCTCTTGCCCGAGTTTCCATGTGTTTCCTCAAGGATCAGGACTATTCTGGTTGCTGATGAGCTGCTGCGGTCCCATCGCTGTCACCAGCACACGCCATGGACCCAGTCCAGGGTTACCGTTTCCTTGTGCTGTCCCAGGAAGCCTGGGCTCGGCCGGCAGCCTCTTTCAGCTCAGCCTCCCTCATCCAGGCTGGGAACTGAACCAGGAGGGCTCCGTGGTGCGGGACGGGGACTCTTGGGGCTGCTTTTCTGTCTTTTTCCCCCTATTTCTCACTTTGCCCCTTGCACAGGGGCCGCTGCCAGGACCCCGCTGTGTTCGCGTTGCCGGGGGCACAGGGACCCCGCTCCGTTCGCGGTGCTGGGCACAGGGACCCCGCTCCGTTCGTGGTGGCGGGCACAGGGAACCCGGTCCGTTCACGTTGCCGGGGGCACAGGGACCCCGCTCCGTTCGCGGTGCTGGGCACAGGGACCCCGCTCCGTTCGCGGTGCAGGGGGCACAGGGACCCCGCTCCGTTTGCGGTGCAGGGCACAGGGACCCCGCTCCGTTTGCGATGCAGGGCACAGGGACCCCGCTCCGTTCGCGGTGCAGGGGGCACAGGGACCCCGCTCCGTTTGCGATGCGGGGCACAGGGACCCCGCTCCGTTTGCGATGCAGGGCACAGGGACCCCGCTCCGTTCGCGGTGCCGGGCACAGGGACCCCGCTCCGTTCGCGGTGCAGGGCACAGGGACCCCGCTGCGTTCGCGATGCCGGGCACAGGGACCCCGCTCCGTTCGCGGTGCAGGGGGCACAGGGACCCCGCTCCGTTCGCGGTGCAGGGCACAGGGACCCCGCTCCGTTCGCGGTGCAGGGCACGGGGACCCCGCTCCGTTCGCGGTGCAGGGCACGGGGACCCCGCTCCGTTCGCGGTGCAGGGCACGGGGACCCCGCTCCGTTCGCAGTGCAGGGCACAGGGACCCCGCTCCGTTCGCGGTGCAGGGCACAGGGACCCCGCTCCGTTCGCAGTGCAGGGGGCACAGGGACCCCGCTCCGTTCGCGGTGCAGGGCACGGGGACCCCGCTCCGTTCGCGGTGCAGGGCACGGGGACCCCGCTCCGTTCGCGGTGCCGGGCACGGGGACCCCGCTCCGTTCGCGGTGCCGGGCACGGGGACCCCGCTCCGTTCGCGGTGCCGGGCACAGGGACCCCGCTCCGTTCGCGGTGCGGGGCACAGGGACCCCGCTCCGTTCGCGGTGCCGGGCACAGGGACCCCGCTCCGCTCCGTTCGCGTTGCCGGTGCCTGCTCCCGGCATCACCGCCCGAGACGAGGCCTTGTGGGGCCGAGCCGGCCGCAACCGGCCGTTGCCATGGTTTTTGGGGGCGGGTCACGTGACCCCCGCGCAGTGCCGCCATGTGAACCGGGTCAGGCCGGAGCTCGGCTGCGGCGGAGGCTCCGGTTTGGTCCCGTTGGAACTCCCGGCTTCCCCCGACCTCCCTGCGGAGCGCGACCGAGGGGACTCCATGGAGCCCCTCACCGTGGCCTTGGGGCTGCGCTGACCCCGTAGCGCTTCACAGCTCCCTTCCTGCCCCTGTGTCGGGACTGGGCTGGCTCCGGGTGCGCTCCTCGGCTGCTCCGGTGGTGCCTGAGCCCCGCAGGCACTGCCCCTGCTCTGCAGGAGGGATCTGAGCTCCGAGCCTGCCGAGGAGCCCCGGTTGTGCCCCCCCTTCACGCAGTTGCCATCGGGAAAGGGCTCAGCCCCTCCGTGCTCAGCGCTCCTCGGCCCAGCCCTGCCGAGAGCGACCCGAGCCGGTTCAGGTACAGGGAAGAGCCGGGAACGCTTCACGTGTGCCACGGTTCCCGTTGAGAGCAGCTGGGAGCTGCGGTGCCTGGGGTTCCCTGCCTCGCTGTGCCCTCTAGAGGACACTCCTGCCTTCGTCTTTATCCCACTGCCCTGGCAATGGCATCTTGAAAGCTGGGGTTTGCAGGCTCTGAGCTGGTTTTGGAGCATCCGGAACCTGGTACCTGCTCCCTTCCCCGCGGGTCCGTGTCTCCTGAGGCTGCCGGGGGGACCCAGCTCCGCATCATCAGTTGGTGTGAACAGCCTCTTTGTCGCTAAAGAAGATCCTAATGATTAATTTCTGTTAATCAGTGGATTCCTGCTAAACGTGGCTGTCAGTTAAGTGTAGAAACTGCTGTTTCGGCTAAGAAGTAATTGCCTGGTATTTAACTGACAAAGCTCGTGTGCCACATGAGGATATCCTTGAGGGCAGAGCAAACCACACTGACATGCTTGCTTCATCTTGCTTGAGACAAATCCTTCCTCCAGTTTCCTTCATACAGTGATACTCAGAAGGTTCTCATCCTGCTTCTGGCTTTGGGTCTAAAGCAGAACAGAACAGTGACTTGTGTTGTGTCCTCCTCACATCCTCACTGTCGGCCCTCTCTCAAGCGCTGCCATTACCTGGGTGCTGCAGAAGACTTTGCTGCCCTGTTCCTGTTCAGCATCTCAGCCTCCCATGCTGCAAGCCTTGCTCTGAAATCCTTTGGCTTCACAGCTTGAAAGCCCAGATCCTGATAGCAGAGGTGATCTGACAGGTACTGGCTTGTGCAGTGGAGGAGAGGCGCTGGTGTCAGCCTATCACCTCTGTCCCTTTTGGTTCATGGAGCTTAAACTTCTCATAGGACAACCATAAGCAGTGCAGCCAAGAGGTGATTTATTGTCAGGAGTTTGGATGGAAGGTGCAGGCAGCACTCAAGACACTGAGTGTTAAAGGCAGAGAAAGAGTTAAACTCATTATAAACCTGGATGTGGTTCAGTGGGTTTCAGTGGTGTTTCATGGATGTGTCCATTGGTGTTGAGACTGCTCCAGGTTTATGCTCTCAATAGGGGAAAAGAATTGGTTTGGTGTAGGAAGAAGATAATGCCATAAAGTACCTAAACTTAGATGAGTGTGAGTGGTATGTGTTGAGTTTCCTTCAGATTCAGTAACTGGGGTGGGAAAGAGTCACAACTTCAGACATTAGCATTAGGAAATGCAGCCTGAAGTAGTAGTTTGCTTGGTTTTGTTAACCCATTCTCTGTATTTTGCTCTTGATTTGCAGTGAACTAAAGAGAGAGAAGCGAGTGCCCTCCCCGGATGTGATAGTGTTATCTGACAATGAACCTTCCAGCCCTAGGATGAATGGGTTAACCAAAATAGCATTAAAAGAGACCAACACAGAGGCGCTCATGGTGAGTTCTTGGCTTGACTCACTCTTAGTGTGCCAGCTGAAACAAACCAACCACACCAGTGGTTCCTGCAGAGGCGCCTGTGCTCACGGGCCAGGTGGATCCATCCTTCCCTGAAGATGGATTTGCAAGTGGGGAATCTTGGAGCTGTTAAAGGCTGATGCCTTCTTTTTCTGAGTGGGTTTTTGGTGGATGCAGTGTCCCTTACTCAGCATAACCCAACGCAGAGTTGTTGGCTGAGGTTTTGCTTGAACTGCATTTCCTTGTTTTGCCTTTTTGGCTTGTTTTGTGAAAACAGCTCCAAAACTTGCTTTCTTTTCCCCTGTGAGTTCTTGCTCCATGCTCAGTTTGTGTCCGTGCATTGCATGGCAGTGCTGTTGAGCCACATGTGCCAATTACAGGGTTGTAAAGTCTTGTTGTAACTTGTATGGTATCTGTGTTCCCCTCTTCCCCCTCCCTGCTTTCCCATCCTCTCTTGCCCTGCAGAAAAGCAGCCCAGAGGAGCGGGAGAGGATGATTAAACAGCTAAAAGAAGAGTTACGGTTAGAAGAAGCAAAACTCGTGCTATTGAAAAAGCTACGGCAAAGTCAGATCCAGAAGGAGACTGCTATCCAGAAGGTATTTATCATCCTACAGAAGCTTGCAGCTCATCTGTGGGACTGGGGAGGGAAGGAATGAAGTAACTGGGGTAGTTGCTAGAACCTGTGGAACATAAGAGCCCTTTCAGATAAAGCATATCCCACTTTTCATAAAACCCTGGTGAAGTTTAGGGTGGCTTCTCCTGTGGAACCATTCCTTTTTGTCTTGCCAAGACCAAGACAAGACAGTTTCTCCTATGAACTGCATTCAAAAGCTGAAGATCTTTTTGTTAAAACCCAGATGTGTTTATGAATGTGATACTTTCCCACTTACTCAACACTCCATCCAGTCCTTAATGCCATTTGGAGATTGTTGAAAGACTCGTGGAGGAGATCCTTGCACACAACCAATGTGCTGACAGGTAGAGTGTGAACCCCAGCCTCTGGGAGCTGAGGGCTGCACTTTGTGCTGCGTGGCAGAAATCCAGGTCTGGATTCCAGGTCTTCCATGTGAAATGAGTCTGGGGTTAGGCACACAGTTCCTTCATCCAAACAGGCCCCCTGGAAGGGACAGCTCAGTCCTCCCACTGTGAGCTGCCTTCCCTTCCTCCTCTCCTTCTCCCCAGCCCTCATCTCACACAGCTGCGTGCTGTTCTCATCAGACACTAACCCAGCAGAGAAGCCTCCCTTCTTGGCAGAGCAGTTGTGTGCAGGGGAGAGTGGAGGAGGCTGGGAGGCGAGGGGGTGGGTGCGCACCCCACGTGCTGCCATCAAGGCACCAGCTCAACTTCAAGTACCTGTAACAATGGCAACTAAACCATTTCATTTCACAGCGAGGGATGCTGACTTGCTGGGCTTTGTGATGGGGGCAATGTGTAGCTGTAAGTGCACTGCTCGGTGTGGCTGATGTTAACAGCAGCTCTCCTGGCTGGGTTGGGTTGGTTTGTTGGTGTCTTTCTCCCAGACTTATGAGCTCTTGAGTACATGGGATTAAAACTAATGCAGGTACCTGGATCACTCAACTTGCTGCTGAACAGTGAGGAATGAGCTCTGGATGTTTGAAATAACGAGAGTGAAATGGCATATCCTAAACTTCTTAAGATCTGAAGTCTTTTTCCTAAACTTTTTTTCTTATTTTCCTGGTATAATCTTATCTATACTTACCTAATAATTTCTTCATTTAAATGTGCATGTTGAGATGTTTGGAGGAGGAAAGGGATGGGGAGGGGGGAAACCCATCGTCTCTGAAGATGCTCTTCCTGAGGCACAAGGAGGTAAACCGCTTTTATTCCCTTAGCTTCTGTAATCCTGCTTTACACCCTTACACTCGTCTGCTTTCTTTCTGGTTTTTCCTCTTCCAGCCTGCTGGTTCCTCTGGGAGTGCTGTGGCCACCCCTCCGCCCTTGGTGCGGGGACCGCAGAGTGTTGCTGCTGGCAAGCCATCCCTCCAGGTCAGTGGGGGGGCCAGGCTGCCAGGCGTAGGGCATGGAGCAGAGGACGAGGTGCACAGGACAGTCCCATCACATGAACGGCTTGGAGCCAGCTTTGAACTCCCAAAACCCCACTCTAAGCTTTCTAAGAATGACTGGGGTGGGAGATGAAAGTGGTGTCACAGGGAGGTAACTCTCAGAAGCTTATTTCTCAGTGGCCGATCACCCTGATCCACTCTACATCCAGGCATCCATAAGGAGGATGCCATGGAGTTAGGGCGTAGAAGTATTGTGGCAGCCTGTTGCCGTACCCTCAGGATGTAATTGTGCCTTCAGTGTGCTTAACTAAGAGCTGAGTGAATGACGAGGTCTTTACTTTTGGCTTCGTGGCTGAAAGGCACATGGTGGTAGGAGGGATCTTGGTTCAGACGAAATCAAATGGAACGTTGGAAAGCCTTCAGGAAGAAGATAAAGGAAAGGCAATTGACATCTGTCAGCCTAATCTGCCTCTTGACTCTATAGTGTCTTGTTTTGCTCTTGGACTGAAACCATTTCTGCCTATTTACCTTGGGCTAATTCGAAACAGCTTCAAAAGTGCTTCAGCACAAAATGCTTTCACTTGGGAAAAGTGAAGATCCCCTGGAACGCGCCCCTCGAGGGAAGGGGGACTTTTGTTATCCAGCTGGGAAACAGCCACAAAACCTGCAGCAATCTGTCAGCTGCAGTAATCTCTTCCTTGAGGCAAGTTGCCTTCACTGAAGACAGCACTTTCAGAGGAACTGGAGCACAAGTTACACCTTCAGTGATCAGACCTGCGGTTGGACAGAGCAGAGAGCTGGGAGCTCAGAATCCAGAGCTCAGCTGATTCTAACTTGTGGTGTTTGGGCAAATTAACCTCTGCTTTTGCTTGACTGCAGCAGCTCTACTAATTCCTGTGTGCAGGAGTTAACCTTTGGTCTTCACTCAAAAGGCATAACAAGGGGATAAAACTTCCCAGCTACCTAAATGTGTACTTGTGTGTGCACATGGTAACTCGTGGAAGTGGGAGCTTGAGTGGTTTTAGAAGTCTTCATCCACAGATGATGGTGAGGCTGGGGCCTGAGTGAGGGATGTGGTGAGATGTGTAAAGGCACATGAGTAAGGTGGAGAGGTTGGTTGCTCCTGAGTAGTGAGTGCTCCTTGGGCTCCGTGCTCTGCAGGAATGTCAGTGATGTGTGGAACCTGTCTCTTCTTTTTCCCTTCACACATACATGCACGGTCCCACACCTCCAACTCCTGTCTGCCCTGTGCTTCTCCTTGAAGACAGCAGTTTCATGTTCCCCATTCTCTTACTCCCTTCACCCCAAAATCCACTTCTTTTTGCCTCTTGGACACTGACTGCACTGAAGCCAGCCCGGCCATCTCCAGGGCTCAAGAGTGATGCTGCACCCATCCCATCAGCCAGAGAGGAGAGCTGCACTGTGTCCCCCCACTATCGCACTTGGGTTATGGTGTGTCTCAGTACAACAGTCCTGGAGCTATTGAACTCCAGTGGTGGGAGGGCAGGGGAACATGTCTGGGATTCCTCTTCACCCTTTGGATTCCGTGCAGGATGGGGGAGAACAAGCCCTGGGTGTGCAGCCAGACTGCCACAGCGTCCATAAGATTTCAGACCCTGCCTTATCAGCACAGCAAGCAGCAGAAGAGAGCATGAGTGAACACCCCAGAACAAAATGGTAAGAGTAAACTGTCCTCTGTTTTGCAGACCTCTTCTACACGGATGCCAGGCACTGTTATTCCTCCTCCCTTGGTCCGTGGAGGGCAGCAGACTTCTTCCAAGTTAGGAACTCAGCAGAACACGCAGATAGTGATGCCACCTCTTGTCAGAGGAGCACAGGTAAGTGCTTCCCTTGTGCTGGATCCATTCCTAAATCCATCTGCACTAAACCAGTCATCTTTCTGCTCATCTGAGGGGACCTGTGAAGTTCCTGCTGGGATTTCTTAAAATGAGTTAGACGTATTGCCACTGGAAGTTCTTGCATCACTCCAAGCTTATGCATTATGCTGTCCCATATGCTTCCAGTGAAGCATGAGAAGGTGCTGTGGTGATGGAGGAAGCTGCCTCACTTGCACTGCTGCTTCCCTTGGCTGTGGGTTAATTCACAGGCTGCCAGCTTCACCTGCTTTTTAGGGGAGCAGCAGCAGAGAAAATGCAATCCAGTCTCTCCTTCTTCCATTTCCCCCCTCGTGATTGTTTCTATCATCTCAATTTCACCTTTTCAAATGCAAAAACTCCCTCATTGTGTCTGTCTTGTGATTGAATAAGAGCTGCTGAAATGAGATAGTCAACTTCGAGGCTGAAAGTGCTGCTTTGCAGGGTCTTTATCACCTCTGACAGCAAACAGTGGTGGCACTGAAGCAGTGTTTGATTCGATACGCTCTTCTGAAATGATGACTTCTGTGAGATACCAGGGAACAAACATTTCCTTGTTAAATGAGGATTTCTTTGGCAGTGCAAGGTCTCTTTGGTGTGTTGCACAGCCAGCAGTGAGAAGGAAGGTAGAGATTTGGTGTATTTCGTTTTCTTTCTGGTCTGATGATGAAGAAGAACATGCGCTGAGGAGTAGCTTTCCTAATGCCTTTCAAATGAGACAGCTTTAGCAGTGATGGACTTTGACAGAAGTTTGACTTGGAGGCTTAGATTGCTGGTTTGGCTCTAACCTGGTGGCCTCGCAGACGAGCATCTCTTCATGTTCCATTCTGCTTGTTTCATTTGGATTGGAAAAAGGGAAAACTCATCACATTTTGCCACAGATGTCATCACTACATTCTCTTGTCATTCCCTGCCCCCTTTGCCACTGTCTCATCTCATCCCATTCAACTCACACCGCTGATTTCCCCCTCTCTAACCCTCCCCATCACTCCTGGCACCGTTGCATCAGCCCATTTCTATCTCTTCCCAGCAAATCCACAACATCCGACAGCACTCCAGCACGGGGCCACCTCCACTGCTGCTGGCGCCGCGCGCGTCGGTCCCCAGCGTCCAGATCCAGGGGCAGAGAATCATCCAGCAGGGACTGATCCGCGTGGCCAATGTCCCCAACACCAGCCTGCTGGTCAACATCCCGCAGGTGAGTGCCGTGGGCTCTTCTGTGCCCAACCTCACATCCCAGAGGAAGAGCTCAATGCTTTTCATTACTCGCTGTCTGGTTGGCGTGGTTTGCTGCCATCCAACTGAGGTGGCTGCTTCCCACTAGAGCTCTCCTGCTCTTTGTCCTTCCCCTTGCTCTGTACGCATGCTGTACACAGGAATGAAGAAAACCATTACAGTACTGGGGAGAAATATCTATTTCATTGAGCTGAATTTGGTGCCTCATTTCACATTTGCTGGTTCGATATGAAGCTGTCCATGAGACTATCTTTTTTTTCCTTCCTTAAGAAGGGTAAATGTGTGTTCTGGTGAACAGAGTTCCTGCCTGAAACCCTGAGAGGCACTGAAGCAGCAACTTAACATCTACCACTGATGCTGCCATTACAGGTGCTGTAAATAGTCTGACAGAGGGGAGACTGAGCTGAGCTCTTAGGCAGAAGCTCTTCCCTGTGAGGGTGCTGAGGCGCTGGCACAGGGTGCCCAGAGAAGCTGTGGCTGCCCCATCCCTGGCAGTGCTCAAGGCCAGGTTGGACACAGGGGCTTGGAGCAAGCTGCTCCAGTGGAAGGGGTCCCCATTGCAGGGGTTGGAACTGTGTGTCCCTAACCTGTGCCGTGTCCCTAACCTGTGCCATGCCTCCTCCCAGGCTTCACCAACTTCAATCAAAGGTACATCCGTGACATCCGCTCAGGCCAATGTTACTCCAAGCAGTGCCGCTTCCATGGGGAACGCTGGTGAGTCCCCGGCCAGCCGGCAGGCCGCCGCCAAGCTCGCCTTGCGGAAGCAGCTGGAGAAGACGCTCTTGGAGATCCCTCCTCCCAAACCTCCTGCACCCGAGATGAACTTCCTGCCCAGTGCAGCCAATAACGAATTCATTTACTTGGTGGGCTTGGAAGAAGTTGTGCAGAATCTGCTGGAAACTCAAGGTGAGATGGGTTCAAATGCTCCTTGAAGGCAAGGAGAGAGTGTTCCCATTGCAGCAGCACGGTCAAATCCGGGATCCACCTTCTTGAATAACTTGAGATTCTAAAGTAGTCAACAGGAATTCTAGACACTGAGTGTAAAGATTGCTCTCAGATGCGTCCAGTTCTCCCCAGAGCTGTTCGCTTCCGACCAGCCCCTTGTTTGTCCACCACCACTAAACTCTTGAATCAGTGTCTAAAGGAGTGTCTGCTGCATTCCTCCACGCACGCTCACACAAGCAGGAGTTTCAAGGTTTAGTAAATGCAAAAGGAGAGCAATGGGTGGATGGTTTGCCCTTCTTTAGCTGGGATATTGCTGAGGTTTCTCAAGTATCGTTGATTCATAGAAGGCCCAGATGGAGCTGAGCTAAGCTGCTTGTGTTCTCCAGGTAAAGTTTCGGTGGCTGTATCATCTCGTGAGCCCTACATGTGTGCTCAGTGTAAGACTGACTTCACCTGCCGCTGGAGGGAGGAGAAGAACGGCATCATTATGTGTGAAACCTGCATGACATCCAACCAGAAAAAGGCCTTGAAAGCTGAGCACACGAACCGACTGAAAGCTGCCTTCGTAAAAGCACTGCAGCAGGAGCAGGAGATCGAGCAGAGGATACTGCAGCAGACCTCAGCTCCTGTACAGACCAAGTCAGACCCTATAGTGCAGCACCACTCACTCAAGCAGGTGAGGATCCATCTGCTAGGAGCCAGGTCTTGGTGATGATAGGGCCAAGAGTCCTGTGGCTCCATGCACACTGGTGCACAGGCACGAAATGGAAACATGACCTAGCTTTCTTTAAGCTCTGCCATGTGTATGTTTGAGCGTAAGCTTAACCAGGTGCCTGGTTGAACCGGGCAGGTTAAAGTGGGATTTGTTCATGCAGGGACCTGATACTTCAGTTACATTCTCTGTACCTGAAGAACAGAAGAGAATGGTCTTTTTCTGCAGAGTTGTTGGAATTATCCGGGGTGTTTAACTCACATCCTGCAAAGTCTGTTCCAGATTTTTCTTTAGGATGTGCCAGATGGAAAGACATAAGAGTCAATTGACCTAAGATAGAGGTGGGGGGGGAAGGCTTAAGCCAGGATCACACAGTGCTGCTTGTGAAGTTTTAGGGTGATGGTAGCAACCATCTATGACACATCCTGAGTCTCTCACACCTGGTAAAGCCACCTTTTGATTGGAGGAAGTGCTTAAGTGCTGGTTTGAGTTGAAATAATCAAGGTACTGGTTATTCAGGACAGGGAAGTGATGCCTGTGTACATTGGTGCCCACACGGCACAGTTTTTGCTGCTTTGCAGTTGATTCTAATTCCTAATCCTTACAGGTGCTTTCTGAAGTAGAAAGCTGATTCTTACCTTGCTGCAGAGAAGTCTTGGAAGTTTCCAGCCCCGAAGCTGTAGTAGGCTTGGTAGCAGACATAATAGTCCAGGCTTGGCAGAAGCAGCCCAGGGAGGAGAGAAAAGGGGCTGTGAGGGTTCCCCCTGGGGATTGTACTTGAGAGCCAGCAACCTGCAGTGCCTGTCTTACTCTTTGCTCTCTTGCCAGACTTCTAGCCAGATGTCTCGAGGTCCTGGAGCTCCCCGGGGAGTGTTGCATGCATTTAGCCAGTCACCCAAGTTGCAGAATGCATCGTCTGCAGCAGCACTTGGGAGTAGGCCAGGTAAGCATGCTGAGAGACCTGTCAGCAAGGGCAGCGCTGCCGCCTGGAAGAAGACTCCCGTCAATACAGGTAGATTATTTCTCTAAAGCTTCTTCTCTTTGTACTTACTAGCTGCACTCTGTCCAACAATCATAGTTCTTTGGGTAAGGCTGGTTTCTCTTTGCCACTTCCTGCATGAAAGCCTGATGGTGTTGCTCTTAGTCGTGGTGTTGACACTTGCTTTTGGTGCTCATCAAGAGGGGCAATAAGGTGATGCTACCAAACAAAAATGAACATTTATAAAGAGGCTAAATAGGTGTAGCATCACTGAGGCCACCTGAGCAGCCAGTGCCATGCTGCAGGAGTCTGTCATTCATTTCTGGGAGTTTAATTCAGCTGGGTTTGACTGGTGGGAAGGCAGCATACAGTAACCAGATGGTTTTGCTCTAGGTGAGGCTGCAGCACACGCTGCCAGCATGCCTCAGGGTTTGCAATGACTAAAGCTGTTGCTCTGAACAAATGGAAATTATAAATTCTAATCTGATCTCCTTTTTCTATATATATAAAAGAATCTGACTTGAGAGCTCGAGTCATTTGTTTTCTTCAGTGATAAATAGGATCTCCAGGAAGGAAACACTGCACTAACAGGCTCTTGTGATCTACTCCCTTGCCCAGCACAGTGGATTTCTTTGGATTTTTTTTATTCCTGATAGCTTTATTTAGCATTTAATATGTAGTTTAATTGCAGAGAGCTCAAATCTTCATTTCTGGTATAAAACCTTGCTCCTGTTTTAGAAGCTTTTATCTTCAGAAGGTGTCTGGCCTTTGCGGCCAGTAGTGCCCTGTGTTAGATGATGATTTCAGGGGGATGAGCAGTGTGGTTTTGCCACTGTTTCTCTTGTGTTTGTACCGTGCTGTGACACTTGTTCTCTCTCCTCTTTTGTGTCTTACCAGGTGGGGCTTTGCCTTTCGTTAACCCTAGTTTAGCTGTGCACAAGTCCTCCTCAGCAGTAGACCGCCAGCGTGAATATCTCCTGGATATGATTCCCCCACGGTCCATCCCACAGTCTGCCACGTGGAAATAATGCAGAGGAATGCCCAAGAAGAAGACTTTCCTGTTTCTGCCATCCTTTTTATACCACATTACAGTGGAATCTGCTTTAATCCCAGCTGGATATGCCCCAGGCTTTATAAGATGCAAGAAGACCACTCCTCATCCCATCGAGTGCTGCTGTCCCTGCAATGAGAAGACAACACCATGTGGGTGGGAAAGAGTTGAGCTCATTTGGTTCTCAGATTCTTAGCATTGACTGATGATGAAGGCTGTCAGGGAAGGGGAAGAATTCTCTCTCTGGTTTTTTTTGGCTTTCTGTCTTTAGTTTGGATTCCTTTGTCACCAGCACAAAAGGAGGACTCGACGACTCTCTGCCTTCAGTTTCTTTATTCATAACCACCCAGTCACCAGGAACACGGTGTTTGAGGATCTCAGCTCAAGGAGAGAGGAATCTCAACCCCGTCTTGCAGATGCATATAGTTCATGTTTGCTTTTCTTCCCTGCCCCTCTCCAGCCAGGAAGGCAGTCAACAGATGAAAATGTTTCCAGATCTTCTGATGATGAGCTAATGATAAATAAGTGTGAACTCCAGTTCCGGTCGAGTATGGGTTTGGGTTGGTTTTTTCTTTTCCTAAGGGACTGGCTGCCACCAAAACCTGTCAGGTCGGTGGGAAGCAGTGCAGGAGTCTCTCGCTTTTGTTGGATTCTGTTTGGAATAGACTTTTTGAACTGTTGGTAGTCTAAAAATCTAATTTCCTCAATAGACAAACACCTTTTGTTCAGTCTTTCTAATTCAGCGAAGAGCAGTTGGGCCTTTCAGATGCTCCCAGAGACTTCAGAGTGGGACTGTTTGGGATTATTTTCTTTCTGGAAGGTTATTTTTTGTTGTTGTTGTTGTTTTATTGTTTTGAGCAATTTTACTCAAAAAAAAAAAAAAAAGTGGGGGAAGGGGGAAAGAAAAAAAAAATAATAAATAAAAAAAGAACAGGAATTCCAGAAGCTGCAATCAGCCAGGGCGAGCGGGGGGAGCCGAGGGCCGGGAGCTGCTCCTTCTTCTGCCCATTCCCATGGAGAAGCCGTTCCCAGCCTGTGCCAGGATGCTGGGGGCAGGACCTTGATCCCTCTCGAGCTGTGTTCTTCCAGGCGTTCCAAGCATGCTCCGCTTGTCCATCCCTTCAGTACTTCACTTTGCCTAGAGCTTTAGGTAACCTTAAGGACAGGTTTCTACATGGTTTTCGTACCTTTCTGGGGATTCCACAGGTTAAACCCAAATCCTTCAGGTCCAGTTTTGTTTTCTTCCTTCTCATCATCTTCCCTCCTTCTTCCCTGTGCTTCTCCCAAATCCCAGTTGAATTCAAGTGGCAGAAATACATGCCTTACTACTTATGTTGCATATCAGTGCTAGAAGTAGTGCTGATAAGAATTATTTGCAAAATTATATATATATATCTATATATCTATATATAAAAAGAAAAGGGGGGAGGGGTTACTATTCAGTCTATGCTGAATCTATTTTCTTAGCAGTTGCTGTTAGATCTCACTTGAAACCAAGAACTGTTTAGGGATGTCCCCCTTCGGATCTAACCGTTGCATAGTGAAAGAGCAAACCCGTTCATTTTCACCCCTCTTCTGTTGTGTGAATATCAGTATTTAGATACTTTGGAAACTGTTCAGTAGAGTAGAAGACCTAGTTTTGCAAAATGGTATTTGTTGCTGTATAAAAAAAAAAGGAAAAAAAAGCCCTGGAATTTCAATTTGACTTTGTTTTTTGTTTGCTCGACACAGGTATAGGAAGAGCTAAATGGGGGTGAGAGGATATGGTTTGAGGTTTTGATTTTCCTTTTCATTCCAAGGTGTTTTGGATCGGGAGATGTGGAGTGAAGAGATTCGAGTGCATTTGAGTTTTTGCACCTTTGACATAGTAGGAAACCGTTTCAGTTCCTCACCTGGGAGGAGGGGGCTGGGGCTGGTCCTTTCCTTTGCTCTCTTCTGACAAGCTGCTGCGTTATCTCAGCGCTGCTGCTGTGTTACAGCACTTGGGAGAGTGCACTTGCTCATAAAGAACAAGCTGAACTTCTCGAACTAAAACCCAAAAGCCGCTGGGGAAAGCCTGGACAACTTCACTCTTGCTTTCTGCTGTTGGAGTAGCTTCAGCTGGGAATAAGGGGACTGGAATGATGGGCAGAAATACTGAGCTTGTCTGTTCTAAAAGCTGTGTCAGAACCTCTCTGGATCCCACCAGTTCAGTCCAGCACCTTATATAGTTTTAATTTGAATATCCATTTAAGAGGGGAGTATCCACTAACATAAATTGAAGAGGGGAGATACAAACCAAGCCTTAAACTAATGGAGAAAACTTCCTATTTTTAAGATTTGGAACTGAAACTGGGGCTGCATGTACTGACTTCAAAACCTTGAGCTCCGAGGGAGCAATCTGGTTTGGTTTCATGTAGAATAAACCCCTGCAAATACTATTTGATGTATTGGGGTAGAATTCATTTGAAGGCTTTGTAAAGCAAGCACAGATCCTGGGCTGTTGGGATTCCAACTGTTTTGACATGGGTTTTAACCCGTGGTGCAGGTAACGTGAAAGGGTCTGTTTATTGCGTCTCTGTTTCTGCCAAGTTCCAGATAAATGCACCAGGAAAAGATTGAAGTGGTAAAAATGTGTTAAATGCCAGAATTGTTTCTTTCCTGTAGTCAGAGCTGTGGGTTCAGGTGGTGGCGTTGGACTGGGCTCCTCGAGGCACCGCTTTAGGTTTCGATGTTGTTCAGACACCTCTCTGTCTTTTCCTCCCCACCTCAAAAAACCAAAACCCAGCTGCAGAACCCGACCAATAGATAGAAAAGCTCGATCAGATTATTCACATTATGGTATTATGCCCTAAAGGTTCCATTGTTTGAGAATTGTGAAGGGGGGGGGGGTGGGGAGGGTGGTGGTGTTAGACATGCTTTGAAGACTGGATCTTTGCTTTATTTCTCCTGCTGGCCCATTTGGGATTCCTGCCTCCATAAGGGCTCTCCCTGGCTCTGCTGCAGAGCATCCCAGAGCCACCTCCTCTCCTGGAAGAGACAGAAACCGTTTCACTTCCAGCTCCTTCCGAACACGAGCCTGCAGGAGCCGCTCTGCAGCCCCGGCCCGGCCCTGGCATCACTCGGCTGGAAGAGCCGGCGTGTCCCGTGTTCCCAACCCTCCACTGCTTCGCTGCAAACTGCTGCATGAGCTGGTTTGACATTGCTCGGATGCTGCTTGCTTCCCCCCTCTCCTGGGGAGAGGGTTAGAGCAGCGTTGGTTCTTTGCAAGCCATATAACCTTTCTTGGGAGACCTTGCGATGACAAGATTTTATAATACAGTAATAATGAAAATGACTTATTGTACTTAGATTTTAGCAACTTGTGAAATAAAACCCCGGATTTTCATTTGAAACCCGTGTTGCAACTTCGGGAGCTGTGTGGTTTTTCTTCATTTGGTTTCATTTGCTCATCTGGTTCCTGTCAGTTTGCTTGCTGAGGGGTGGCACAGTGGCAGCCCTGCGCTCAGAACCAAGGGGCCTGCTTGAGCCTTTCTGCTCAGCAGTTCACTTGGGCATTGCCAGTTTGCACACAGGGTGACTTGGTGCCTTTTTGTCTTCCAGGGATTCCCGTTCATCACATTCCAGCTGTAACAGAGAAGAAGACTCTTGGTTATCCTTAAATGCAAGATAATTTAGTGTCAGGTTGTTTTTCTACAGCTCTTTTTAGCATCCTTTTAGGGAACCTTTGCATTTCCAGACCTGGTTTTCCAAGGGAAAAACCCAATGTACCCAAGCCCAGTTGAGATGGAAAACGGGGACCCTGGGCTGCGTAATAATAAATGGATAAAGCAGAGGCTCTGCCTCTTTGAGGCTGCTGGGTTTGAAATGTGCCTTGGTTCTTGATGCTGGTGGATCGCCCTCTTGGTGACGGTGTTGGTGCTCTCTTTCCCTCCAGCTGAGAGGCCAGGCTCTTCCCCCTGCCCAAAACCACGTTGCTGGGAAGAACGGGAAAGGAAGAAGACGTGTGGGATTTCATGGACTGAAATGAGAAGCCACAAGCGGATTAACCATCCTCAGAGGTGCTGTAGGGACGCGGGTATGGGCATTCTCCGGGTGGAAAGAAGACACGAGTTCCAGGAACTGGAGCCCCTGTTCCTCCTGGAATACTTCACATCCTTCCAAAGCTGATTCAAGTGCCCCAGCCTGACTCATGAGCGGGTTCATCTCTGCCCTCAGCGCTCAGCCCAGCCTCATCCTGTGGGAATGCCCTGATGGAAGAGGCTGGTTCAAGGAAGCCATGGTTAATCCCGTGTCCCCCTCGCCCTGCCCCGCTTCCTTCCCCCATCCCTCGGGAAGTGCGACCCCGAGTGCCCCCTCCAGGGGTGCCCTTTCCCCCCACCCCGCAGCCTCAGCCGCACCATCTGCATTGGCATTAACTCCCCGCAGCAGCCGAGGGATTACGGGCACTGATTAGAGCTTAGACACGAGTGACCTTGATCTGAAGTGACCGAGGGCTTCACTGGGGGTGCAGGCTCCCTGCCGCACACTGGGTGCGTGCCCGGGGCTGCGCGCTCCTTGCGCGCTTCCCCCGCGCTCCCGCTGCGCGCTCCCCGGTGCGTGCCCGCTCTTCAGCGCTCACTTAGAAGCGTGTGCGTGCCTGCTTGCTGGTGCGCTCTTGCACACGCAGGTTTTGCTGCAAGGTCGCTGCGGGGTGCATGCATGTAGCACACACCAAGCAGCGCGTACTGCACCCCCCCGTGCGCCCTTACTGCGTGGTGGGCCCCACCTCCCCGCCCCTTGGCGTTGCCCCTTTAAGGCGGGGCCGGTGTGTGTTGGGGGGGGGGTGCAGTGTGTGTCCCCGCAGGCCGCTTCCCGCAGCGCGGCGGAAGTGACGCTGCGTGGCCGCCGTGATGGCCGCGCCGAAGGTGAAGCAGGACATGGCGCCGCCGGGCGGGTACGGGCCCATCGACTACAAGCGGCACCTCCCGCGCCGCGGCCTCTCAGGTGGGCACCGGGGCTGGGCGGGGGCGGGCGGCGGCTCCCGGTGCCCCCGGTGCCCCTCACCGCTCCCCCCGCAGGTTACAGCCTCTTCGCGCTTGGCGTCGGCAGCCTCCTGCTGGGCTATTACACCGTGGTCAAGTGGAACCGGGAGCGCAGGTGCCGCCCCCCCCCGCCCCGGTTCTCCCGTCCTGTGTTTTTACCCCCCCCCCGGGGCTGTGCTCCGGTTCCCTGCTCTGACACCCCTCCCCCTCGGTGCTGTCCCGGTGCAGGCGGCTGCTCATCGAGGACCTGGAGGCGCGGATCGCGCTGCTGCCGCTGCTGCAGGCGGAGTCTGACCGCAGGTACCGAGCAGGGGGGACACGGGAGGGGTCCGGGGGCCGCTGCAGCGCCGCTCCCCGCGCTCAGCCTCGCCCTGTCCCGTAGAACGCTCCGCATCCTGCGGCAGAACCTGGACGAGGAGGCCAAAATCATGAAGGATGTTCCTGGCTGGAAGGTTTGTGGCTCCGGTGCTGCGGGGGGCAGGGGAGGGAGAGATGGGGTTGGTTCCTGGTACAGCGGCTCCTCGCACCGGAGCAGGATCCAGCCTTCCCGGTCCTGGAGAGCTCAGAGCAGAACGTGTGTCCCCTGGAGCCGGGCTCACGGTGCCGGTGGCCACAGCGCTCCCTCCCTGTGCAGGTCGGCGAGTCCCTGTTCCACACTGATCGCTGGGTGCCCCCGACGCTGGACGAGCTCTACTACCTGCGCCCCACCAGCGAGATGGAGAACGAGAAGTTCGGGCTCCAGTACTACGTGTGAGGCACGGCCGTGTCACCCCCTGGGTGCTGTCACCCCCCCTGCCGGTGCCACCGGCTGCTGTTATTAAAACCACATGGCTGAGTCGAACCCGGTGTCATTCATGTTCCTGTCCAGCTCCGTGTCCTTCCCAGCGGGACACTTGGCTGCTCGCAGGGTGCTTGAGGCTCTTCCCTGCTCCCACATGGCTGGGGGTAGGATCCTGGAGCCCTGGATCGGGATGGGAGCGTGGGATGAGCCACGTGTTCTGAGTGCCAATGGGGCCGGTATCTGCTGTGCCCTCCATGGGGGCTTGTCCCTCAGAGTCACTGCCAGGGGCTCGGGTTTGGGGGGGTCGCGGGGTCCCCAAGAGGTTCGGCGGGAGCAGCCCCGCAGTCTGGATGCTGCAGATGCGGTTTCCACTGGGGTGAGGATTGGGGTGAAAACCCCCGATTTTGGGTCTTTGGCGCTTTCCTGTTGCTTGGGGAGGGGAGGGGCGGGAGGGGGGGGTGAGAGCCGAGGTTGCCGCCCCCCACCCACCCCCCGGCAGCGGCTCCGCCCGCGGGCGGGGGCCGGGGCGATGCTCGGTGCTCCGGGGAGCGGGGCCGCGCGGGGCGGGGGCAGCGGGAGCCGCCTCCCCCGGGCGGCACCGCCGAGCGCGGGGGGGTGCCGGTGGTCGAGCCGGAGCCGGAGCCGCCGCCGCCGCCGCTCCCGCAGGGCTCCGCCGCTCCCGGACCCGCTGCCAGCGATGAGCTCCGCGCCCGGCCCCGCCCGGGATCCTCCCCGGTACCTGAGGTGAGCCCGGGCCCCCCGGAGCCCACCCGGGCCGCGCGTTGGGAGCCCCGGGGGGTGGGAACTGGGTCACGTCGCGCCTGTGCCCATCACCGTGCGCCCGCACCGGCGCGCAGCCGGGACCCCCTCAGCCGCCGCTGCCTGCAGGGACGTGGCCGGTTCCGGGTCCTGCGGGACGGGGTGGGGACCCCGGGCTGGTGCTGGAGGCTCCCGCGGCCCCGGTGGCGGGGCGGGACCCCTCCTCCCGGGGTCGAATCCTCCGTGCCGGGATGCGGAGGCTCCGGCCCCACGCGTGTTTCCCGGGACACCCGGTCCCTCGGGAAAGCCCCATCCCCGTTTCCCGCACCCCCGGGGGCGGACGAGGGGGGGCTGGTACCCAAATAGACTCGTTGCCAGAGCAACCGCATCCCGGGTCTCCATGGCTGCGGCGGGGATGTCTCTGGCAGCGTTGGGAGCGGAGCAGGGGGATCCCGGTCCGGGCAGGGCTGGTGCCTCCAGTGCCCCTCTGCTTGTACCTGGGCAGGGGCCGGGATGCAGAGAGAGGACACGGAACTGGGGTGCAGAGGGATGACACGGAGCTGGGATGCAGAACTGGGATGAGCTGGGATGTGAAGCTGGGATGCAATGAGGGACACAACCCACGAGCTGGGATGTGAAGCTGGGATGCAATGAGGGACACAGAGCTGGGCTGGGCAGCTGGGATGCAATGAGGGACACAGCTGGGCTGTGCAGCTGGGGTACGGAACTGGGGTGCAGAGGGATGACACGGAGCTGGGATGCAGAACTGGGATGAGGAGCTGGGCTGTGCAGCTGGGATGCAATGAGGGACACAGAGCTGGGCTGTGCAGCTGGGATGCAATGAGGGACACAGAGCTGGGCTGTGCAGCGGGGGTACGGAACTGGGGTGCAGAGGGATGACAAGGAGCTGGGATGCAGAACTGGGGTGAGGAGCTGGGATGTGAAGCTGGGATGCAATGAGGGACACAGAGCTGGGCTGTGCAGCTGGGGTACGGAACTGGGGTGCAGAGGGATGACACGGAGCTGGGATGCAGAACTGGGATGAGCTGGGATGTGAAGCTGGGATGCAATGAGGGACACAGAGCTGGGCTGTGCAGCTGGGGTGCAGAACTGGGCTGCAGAGGGGAGACAGAGCCAGGGTGTGGAGCAGAGAGGCAGGAGGGGAACACCGGGGGTGCCCTCGACCCCCTCACCCGGCGGCTCCTCTGCCTCCTGCTCCCTCTGACCCTTAGCACTGCACAGCCGCCCCCCGTCCCGCCCAGGAGGCACCAGGAACTGGGTTGAACTGGGCTGACCTGGGCTTTGCTGGGTCCCCTCGGGCTCTGCGCAGGGGCAGGAGCAGCATTCCCCCGCCCCCCCAGCACGTCCCCAGCCGCGGGGAGCAGGGAACGGGCTCCCGCAGCGCAGCGGGGAAGAGCCAGGACTCGGAGCCCTGTGACACGTTCCCCCCCCCGGGGCCGGTGCCAGGACAACGGGAGCCAGCCCGGGCCCGGGCCCAGGGTCTCCTGCCAGCAGCGATTACGGGCAATGTTCTCCCTCCTGGAACAGGGAATTCTGTCAGGATCGGAACGTGCCTCTTGCTGGGGACAACACAGCTGTGTGGGGCTGCGCCAGGCCTGGCCCCGGCTGCGTTTGGCCTCTTTCCCCCCGGTTTGCCCCCAGGACTCTGCTGCGGGGCTGGGCTGGGGCTCACTAGAGGGCACCAAAGGACTGGGGACAGGGTGGAATGGGGCAGGATAAGATGGGACAGTGTAGGATGGGCTAGACAGGATGGGAAAGGAGAGCATGAGGTGGGAAAGGATAGGATGGGATGGATGCTATAGGGTAGGATGGGAAAGGAGAGGATGGGGTGGGAAAGGATAGGATGGGATGGATGCTATAGGGTAGGATGGGAAAGGAGAGGATGGAGTGGGAAAGGACAGGTGGGATAGTGTAGGATGAATAGGATAGAATAGCATGGGATGGGATAGGGTAGGATGGGAAATTATAGGATGGAATGGGAAAAGATGGGATGATGGGATGGGATAGGGTAGGATGGGAAAGTATATGATGGAATGGGAAAAGATAGGATAGGATGGGAAAGTATATGATGGAATGGGAAAAGATAGGATAGGATGGGAAAGGATAGGATAGGATAGGACAGGGTAGGATAGAATTGGCTGGACGGGAAAGAACGGGATGGATGGGATGGAAGAGGGCAGGATGACATGGGGAAGGGTGGGATTAGATAGCATATGATGGGAAAGGATAGGATGGATGGGAAAGAATAGCAATGGGATCGATTGAACGAGATAGAGTAGGATAGGATGTATGGGGTGGGAAAAGATTGGATGGGATGGGGCAGGATGAGGGGGTCTGCCAGGATGAAGGTCATTGGGCTCTGTCAGTAGGGCCAGGGGATGGGCTTGGCTGGGTCTATGGGATCTCTGGAGTGCCCCATCCTCAGCAGGACTGGCCTTGTCCAGGCCAGGGGATGGTGGGCTGGGATCAGCCAGGACAGGGCTGAAGAGGGCCTGGAGCAAGCAGGGGCCAGCGGATCTGAGGGACCCGGCACACGCTGTTCTCGCTGCAGGTGAGCCAACACATGGGAGCGATTACTGCCCGATGTGGAGGCTCCGGGCGCTGCCAGCGCCGGGCTCGGCTGCAGGAACAACCGCAGCATTGTTCTGCCTCCTGGAACAGCCCCATCGCCACGAGCTGGGGCCGCTGCCAGGGCTGGTGCCTCGCATGGAACAGCCCCCGGACCCCCCTGCACCCACTGGCCCCGGTGCTCCCAAGCATCCCCTGCTCCGCGCCATGGAAACACAGTGGGGTCCCGGTGCTGGGGGGGGGGGGACACATCCCTGTCCCTGTCCTCACTGCTGTCTGCTCCCCCTGCAGCAAGGCTGAGGCTGAGGCCATCGAGAAGGAGCTGCTGGAGGATTATCGGTTTGGGCGGCAGCAGCTCATCGAGATCTGGGGACACGCCTGTGCCATGGCTGTGACCAAGGTGAGGCAGCCACCGGGGCCAGGGACACCCCACCAGGGCCGGGGGCACCCCAATGGGGACGGGGCTTCGCTGCCCCTTGTCCTATCCCCCTGTGTTGCCTTTCCCAGCCCTGGCCGTGGTCTCCTCTTGCTCCAAACCAGGGCACAGGGGCCAGGGGCCAGCCAGGGCTTGTGGCCAGCAGAAGCGATGCTCTGGCCTCTCCCTGGGTGGGTTTATCTGTGTTCCTCGCCCACCCTTCATGATCTCCCCTGGGCTGTGGGTCACACCGTGTCTATGGGAAGGAGGGTGCTGGGGGGATCCCTGGGGCTCCCCATGCACCGACAGTGCTCTCCTGTTGCTGTGAACGCTGCCTGCTTCTGCTGGACGGGAGGAGGAGGAGGAGGTGGAGGAGGCAGCATCAAGGGCAGCTTTGTGCCTCCGAGGCCAGCGAGCTCCGCGCCCGCCTGCCTCAGCTTTTCCGTGTGTCTGGAGCTGCTGCACCCTCCCCTTCGCTGAGGGCAGAGGAGTTGCCTGAGGGGGAATATTTGGGTTGTGGGAGCCTCTCTGGATCTTGGGGCTGCCTCAGGGCTGGTCCTGGTCCCACAGCATGGGGCTGCCCACCCCTGAGCCCCGGCTCCACTGCCAGCCCCAGCTCAGCATCCTCCTCGTGGGCCTGAGCATCCTCCTCTTCCTCGTTAGCATCCCCAGAGTCCAGCTTGGGCATCCCCAGCGCCGTCCCCTCCCGGCACGTCCCCAGAGCCGGGGGCAGCGCCAGGGGCTGGGAGCAGGAGCCAGGCTCCAGGAGCAGGAAAAAAGCTGTCAGGGGATAAACAGAGTCTCCCTGTACAGGCTGCTGGGATGTGGAGCTGCGGCCACCTCCCTGTGGGCTGGCTGGGAGCCCTGTCCTGCCATGAACATCGTCCTCATCCCACCGTGGACATCATCCTCATGCCACCATAGGTACCATCTGCATCCCACCACGGGCATCATCCTTATCCCAGTATTGGCATTGTCCTGCCCTGGGTGCCATCCCCATCCCACCTTGAGCATCATCTCCACCCCACTGTGGGTACCACCTGCATCCCACCATGGGCATCATCCTCATTCCACTCTGAGCTCTGTCCTGCCCTGGCTGCCATCCCCATCCCACCCTGGGCATCATCCTTATCCCAGTATTGGCATTGTCCTGCCCTGGGTGCCATCCCCATCCCAGCTTGAGCATCATCTCCACCCCACTGTGGGTACCACCTGCATCCCACCATGGGCATCATCCTCATTCCACTCTGAGCTCTGTCCTGCCCTGGCTGCCATCCCCATCCCACCCCGGGCATCACCCCACCACACACCCTCCTGCCCTCCAGCAGCACATCCCTCTGCCACATTCCCAGCACCAGCTGCCATACCCAGGGGGCTCGGTGCCACGTCCCTGTATCCCCACAGGCCTTCCCGCTGCCATCGCTACCGCGGAAGCAGCCCACGGTGCTGGTGGTGTGCGGCCCGGCGCAGAACGGGGCCATCGGGCTGGTGTGTGCCCGGCACCTCCGCATCTTTGTAGGTATCTTCCTCCCCTGCTCCTCCTCATCCCCGAGCCGTGCCGGTCTCCATCTCACCCCTGCTCTCCACCGCCCAGGACTATGAACCCACCATCTTCTACCCCAAACGCTCCCCGGACCCCCTGTACCAGGACTTCACGACGCAGTGCGAGAAGATGGACATCCCCTTCCTGTCCTACCTCCCCACCGAGGTGAGCCCCGCCGCCTGACGCGCTTCACTGCATGAGTCCCCCCCTTTCCTGCCCCTGGCAATGCCGGGAGCCCGGGAATGCCGTGAAATCCAGGGCGGCCCCGCCAGCCCCCAGCTCTGTTGTTGTTGGAAGCACCTGGCCCGGGCGGGAGCAGGAATGTGACCCGAGAGCGCTGCCCTGGCTGGGGCCACGCGTCCCGGCGTGCCGGGCTCTGCCCCCCCGCAGCATCCTCCCCCTTCGCCTTGGTTAGAAGGGGGGGGATGTTTTGGCAGCTGCTCCTGGGTGAGTCTCTTTAGGCAGCAAAACGGGATCCCCGCGTGAGGGTGCCTGGAGCTGGGGATGGGGGGGACACCAGGAACCTGCTGCCCACCCTGTGTATGTGTCCCCTTTAAGGTGCAGCTCATCAATGATGCCTACAACGCGGTGGTGGACGCGGTGCTGGGAGCCGAGGCGGAGGCAGTGGAGGGGAGGGAGCCTTGTGCCGCCATCCTGAGCACCCTGAAGCTCATTCGCATCCCCATCGTCAGCCTGGACGTGCCCTCAGGTCCGACACTGCGTCCCCTGGGCAGGATGGTACCCCCCCCCCCGCTTGCCACCCTGCCCAGCACAGCATCACCATGGGCTCATTGCCCGGATGCCTGGGGAGCTCCTGTGGTGCCATCGCGGGGTGGGGGCAGCCCCGGGGACCCCCTATTTCCCCCCGTCCCAGCCTGGAAGCATTCCCACCGGGAGCCAGGGCTGGCGCCTGCTCCCCCTGAACGCGTTCAGGGCATCCACGATCAATAACAAACTCCCCGAACTGAGACATGATGTAATTTGAAAACACCCGGGTGTCTGGTGGCCAGGCCTGGAATTGCCATCACCCCCCCGCGGCCCCCCCCCGGCCTGCGGGAGCAAACAGGAGCTCTTGGCACAGCCACCGGTGAATCCCCACCAAGAAAAACCCCCGGCGGTGCCAGGATGCGGCCGGAGCGGTGCAGGGTGGTGATGCTGGGGCTGATGCGGGGGGGGGGGACCCAACTTCCCCCTGTGCCCTCCCCATCGCCACCACCGGGCTCAGCCCTGAGCCCCTCTCCCCGTGTCCCTTCTTCCCACCACAGGATGGGACGTGGAGGCCGGGAGCAGCGGCGGGATCAGCCCCGATGTGCTGGTGTCGCTGTCGGCGCCCAAGCAGTGCGCCCGCCGCTTCCTGGGCCGCCAGCACTTCGTGGCCGGGCGCTTCCTCCCTTACGATGTGCAGAAGAAGTTCGAGCTCAACCCCCCCGAGTACCCCGGCACCGAGTGCGTGGTGGCCCTGCGAGCCCCCCGCCAATAAAGCACTTGGTGGCTCTGCCGTGGGCTCGGTGTGTGCCTGGGGACCCCGTGGGGCGCCAGGGCTCGGTTCCATGCCCCATCCAGCCCCGTGAATGGCTTGGACACACACACAGCCCCCCCATGCCGTGTCCCTGGGACCTGTCACCGACCTGCTTCTGGGGACAGACCTGGTGTGACCCCCTCTATCACCTGTCCCATGGGGACATTGGCAGCCCTCGGGGGACTGCTGCAGCCCTCCATAGCCTGAAGCCTCCAATGTGCCAGGGAAGGGGAGCGGGAGCATCCCCTCACGATGGAGCTTTAATTAACAGGGGGTTTTAATTAACAGAGGTGTGTCCATGAGTACCCAACAGCACCGGGAGCCCCCTCCCCGCCCCGGCTTGCTCGGTGCAGCCGAGTCCTGGGGAATGCAGGGAATGCGCTGGGATTTCCGCCGGTCGGGCTCTGGGATGGGGCTGTGACCCCCAGCCGCGCTCCGCTGCCCTCTGGGGGTCCCCACTCCATCACCGTCACACTCTGCATCCCGGGGAGCACCTGGGGCCACGGGAGCCCCTCGCTCTGCACCGGCGCACGCCATGGGCCAGGTCACGGCCCCGCCGTGCCCCACGGCGATGGGTGCCAGGGCAGCGCTGGCAGCCGTGACCTGACCGCAGCGCGCCGGGGCTGGGCTCGAGCCGCGTTTTTCCCTTCCCTCCCCTCCGCATTCCCCAGTGCATCCAATTTTAGCAGCTTCGCAGAAAACAAATCCCGGAGCTCCGCGGGCTGCGGCCGCTGCTCCCCGCTGCCCTCTGACACCGGGCCAGGGCCCCCGCGCCAGCAGCCGCCTGCCGCTGTCTGACGGCGCGCCGGGGAAAGGCCTCACTCATATATAGACCCGCGGGGCCGCCGCGCTCCCAGTTGCCGGCGGAGCTGCCGCGGCGCTGGTGGCCATGGGGAAGCTGGTGCTGGCCCTGCTGGCTCTCACCGCCCTGCACGGTGCTGGTGCGTCAGGTAAGGGCCGGGGCTGCCGTCTGCCCGTCGGAATCCCGTCCAGGCATCCTCATCCTCCCAGGGGCTGGCGGTGGTGATGCGGGGCAGGAGCGCTCTCCAGATGTGTGCTGGGGCCAGAGGCGAGCCAGGGTCATGGCCACAGCTGCGGGGAGTCCCTTCGGAATCTGCTGGTGGGAGGATGCGTTGGTGAGGCGCGGGGCAGCTTTACCCTCCCCAGGACCATGTCACCAGAGGGATGGGGACATGCCCTGTGCCATGCCACCGAAGGGATGGGGACATGCCCTGTGCCATGTCACCAAAGGGATGGGGACATGCCCTGTGCCATGCCACCAAAGGGATGGGGACATGCCCTGTGCCATGCCACCAAAGGGATGGGGACATGCCCTGTGCCATGCCACCGAAGGGATGGGGACATGCCCTGTGCCATGCCACCGAAGGGATGGGGACATGCCCTGTGCCATGCCACTGAAGGGATGGGGACATGCCCTGTGCCATGCCACCAAAGGGATGGGGACATGCCCTGTGCCATGCCACCAAAGGGATGGGGACATGCCCTGTGCCATGCCACCAAAGGGATGGGGACATGCCCTGTGCCATGCCACCAAAGGGATGGGGACATGCGCTGTGCCATGTCACCAGAGGGATGGGAACATGCACTGTGCCATGCCACCAAAGGGATGGGGACATGCGCTGTGCCATGTCACCAAAGGGATGGGGACATGCCCTGTGCCATGCCACCAAAGGGATGGGGACATGCACTGTGCCATGTCACCAAAGGGATGGGGACATGCCCTGTGCCATGTCACCAAAGCGATGGGGACATGCCCTGTGCCATGCCACCGAAGGGATGGGGACATGCATTGTCCCGTGTCCCCATCAGTCCTGCCTGCTCTGGCACCATATGGCTGAGCAGCATCAGGACTCGCTGGTGCCTCTGCCACCACCTGCTCCACAGGGCTTTTGCTGCCTGGTGCTGAGGCTCCAAAGCCCCATGGGGTCCCTCAAGCTGCCAAGGGCTGTGTGAGACTGGAATGTCCCTGGTCTGGGGGCAAAATCCATCCAGCTGCAGGTGGGGGGGGACAGGGTGAAGCCTCCACTGCTGCTGTGGGATGGTGCCCACTGCATGCCCAGGGTGCAAAGGACCGGCTGGGCACCACTGGATGCCCTGGGGAGAGGGTGCCCCAGCGCTGGGTGCTCCCACCCTGGCCTTCCCCAGAGCCCCTGGAGAACGACTCAGAGCCAGGGAAGAGCAGCACCGCGGGGAAACCCTGGAAAGCAGCGCCCAGCCTGGCAGAGCTCGACCTGGACACAGCAGGTACGGCCGTCCCTGAGCCCCCACCGGGAGCCTGCAACTGGGACACCCCAAAGGGGCTGCATGTGTGATGCCCACCGTGCCAGCCTGGAGATGCTATCCCCCCCCATGGTACCCTCACAGCAGGGATGTGGAGCCAACCCAGTTATCCCCAGGGCTTCCCCACCACATCTCTGAATGCTTTCATCCATTCATCATTTGCCCATGCAGTCCTCGATGTCCCCAAGCTGTCCCCAGCCCTGGTAGCACCCCAAGGTGCTTAGGGATGAGGGTGCTGCTCCCCATCCACATGCTCAGGACTTGCTCCATCCCAGGCAGAGGAGCTGAGTGGACGTCGTGGTTCAACATTGACCACCCTGGGGGGGACGGGGACCACGAGAGCCTGGAGGCCATTCGCTTCTACTACCGGGGCCGCGTCTGCGAGCGGCCGGTGGCCATCCAGGCCCGCACCACTGAGTGGGAGCTGCCCGAGGACGTGGGCGAGGTGGTGCACGTGAGCCCCAAGAAGGGCTTTCGTTGCATCAACAAGGAGCAGCCGCCGGGCAAGACCTGCTCCAACTACCACATCCGCTTCCTCTGCCCGCTGGGTGAGTGCTTGGCCCTGTTGTGTCCCACTTTGC